TCCTGCTTACTAGGTGCTGCAGAATTATCCCCTGCATTCAGGCTTAAACGGTTGGCCCAGAATTCTTCAGCACTGATTACTTGGCTCACAACAAGGTCTTTATAGAGCTGAAACAAAACAGGATCTTCTTGCAGCATTCTGGTAAAAGAATGTATTGAATACAATTGAAATGCTGAAGAATAAATCACTAGGATTTCCATAACTAACATGAGTTCACAAAAGGAACAGAAACTAACTCTTCTTTCAAAAAATGCTGTGTATTTCTTAATAAGATTGTGTAAATAACCAACCTCAATAACGATACTTGTCTCAAAAGAATGAAGGGCTTAAAAAAACCTTGAAGGAATAGCATTAAATGCTAGAAAACAGTAAAGCCTACGAGAACAGTAATATGGGATTAACGTCTTGTCCTTAAATATTCTGTGAAGCTTTTGTGCCTTTGCATGCCCAAGACTAGTCTTGTGAACTAGAAAAGCACACTGACTCTTCCTGAACTACCATTACCAAAGTCTCGTCGTAGAAAAAGGGGATTTGGACACCATCCAATTATTGTTTAAAATCTTAGAATTTGGTAGTTACAGGTCTCTACTTTAGTGCTAGAGTACAGATAACAAAATATGCATGTTTTAAGATACCTTAAAACACACATGATCTTGAGATTTTTGTTCATTTACATTTCTGTTGGTGACAGTAGGACCTTCACCACTTAACTACTGCATGCAGTGCTAGTGCTGCAGAAACATTCGGTGTCATTACCTCCACCAGGAAGTAATGTTTACAGAAGTTAGAAACCAAATATCAAGCAAGTACCCTTACTGTACCACAATACAAGAAAGGTATGCACCAGAAACTTCAGTTATTTCATGTTCTCTTTTTCATGCAGCTGTATACCAATTAAAAGCTCACACTAGGTTACCTGCTGGGAACCACACATGCACGCAGACAAGCAGCCAATAACCTCAGCAACCTTAAGCGTATTCCTCAGGGTCTTGGTTGTGAACAAAAAAACAAGCTGTCTTGTGAATACATAGTACACAGTCTAGGGAAGAACGTGGATAGATTGCAATTTGGACTGAACCAAAGTCTGTAGCAGCTCTGAGGACAAAGTATGATGAGATATAAGTGGTAACCTTTTGGGACAGGACATTGCTAGTATGTTTTCTTACCAAGGTTATTTTTTATTTGTAAGAAAAATAACTGGATATGTATTAGCGGCCATGACCACTAATTAGTGCAGCAGGAAATAGTCTGTTACTTCGAAATAGCTCATTTAATCGTGGAATTTTGGTACATACCTCACCCCAAGTATCAATAAGCAGAGGAATGCCACAAGGACTCTGGATGAAGTACTGCACCAGAATAGGCTATACTTTTCAGCCTCATCTGTTCCAAATTAGGCTAGTGAAGCCCCATCACTGGTCTTGAACTTTAATTGTTAAAAGAACAGACCAGAACAGCCTGTTCTAAAGATTCTGTCTTTTCTGATTCTAGTTTTCTGTAACTAGAAAAGCTATTAATGCCACATAGCATAGTACTGTAGAACTCCATTTACGGCTACAAAGATTGAGAGCTAAGACTGTGCACCTACTTGGTGGTGTTACTGTTAGAAATGAAGAAACAGCGTAAAGAAACCAGTATGGTAACAGTGCCAAAGTAGCCTGCACTGCTGTAGTGTCTAGCTGTCACTGCAGTACTGAAAACAGTCCATCTCAGATCTGTCAGAGCTCCAGCTCAAGGACTCTTGCCGGTTTGGGAAATCCCTTTGTAAAGATCTAATCTGCCCAGTAAAGTAGGGTTCCTGTTTTTTGGTTAAAAAATATACAGTCTACCTTTAAGTTAGGTAAGTTCAAAGCTACAACAGTCTTTGAAAAGGAAAGCTAGCAGATATAGGATTCACAGGAGATGCTAGTGAAACTCATCTGGGGAGTCACAGAGAAGTGTGCCCTAAGACCACAAAGGCTGCTTTAAAACAAATGTTTTGTAGAAAAAGAAGCATATCTTAAAAGCCCTTTTAAAGAAGGACTTAGTTCCTGAAACTCTTCTCTAAATTCTTTTCAGAATAAACATCCTGTGTGCCAAATAACAAAACTACTACATGTCAAGTGAGATGTATGAAAAAATAGAGTAATTTAGTATAGTATATATGAAAAACAGGAAAGAATATTTGGCAGGAGCGGGCAGGGAGGAAAAAAACAAGCACAAATCAAGGAAGGTGAGAACTTCTGGAAAAAAATCTTTCAGGCAGCTTTTCTCACTGGTACTTATGTACTTAAGCACGCTAAAGAGACAGACTGCCAGTTGGACGCTTTCATCTCACAGCGATAGGTAACAAAGACTGGGTAGCAGCTGGGCTGGCTGCCTTTACACCTCGAGAATGTGTCACTGAGAACACAAGCACAGTCTCAACATGTTAGAGTTATATAAGTCCTGAGGAACTGCCTCTAAATTGAAAGTGGAGAGATTGTTTGTGATGTTGCATTTGTAAAAATGTTGCAATACAACACAAGTTAGACAAGACTTAAAAAAACAAATAAAAACAGCCTTCAGAATCCTTTCTCTTTACCTGTTTTTCTCCTCAAGTTCTTTATTAGCTTTCCTTTTGAATTTGGGCAACAGTTGTTGAAGAAGATCCTTAACAGCATCTCGCTCCTTCACTGCTGTGCTTTCATTGGAGAAGTGAAAGTTGGTTGTGTCCCCTGCATGCAATACTAGCTGAAGCTGAATCTTAGCTTTACCTTCTGGACTGATTTTCTGGCCTAGATTACACAGAGAGCATTAATTAGCAACAGACAGTAAGCTTATGTAAGAAACTGTCTACCCTAGAGTATTTGGTTATAAGTAGTTATCCACATCATCCAATTAAATGTCATTATCCTACATGTGAACTCCAGCCATTCAAGTAGAACAGAGTCCTCCCCTTAAATTAGTTGGAATGCTGCACCGTGTCCTCTCCAAAACCCAGTATCCTTCAGCCACAGCTCAGGAGCCCAGATTCAGCTTGGTATTCACTACGTTCTCTGTTAGCAAACTCCTGTGAAGTAGATTTTCACCACCTGGAGACTTCAACCTGGTACAAGTCCAGGAGGCTGCTGAAAGGTACAGCCTTGTCATTTCACCCTTGCCCCTTCTTCCCACAGCCTCTCTTGCACCAGTGCTAGCGTTTGTGCAGCAGGCCAAGCCAAGGAACCAAGCCACTGAAAAGTAACCCCCCTTCTGTTTTTCCAGCTGGGCCAGCTCCCACAGAAGAGTAGTAAGAAAGCAGATGCAGGGTGGGGTTACAGGATGTTGACAGCAAAAGTATGCTGGTTTCAAGCTGCGTGCTTTAAGCACAGTTAGCCACAGTACTCCCCAAAGGTGATCCCCAGTGCCTCCAAGGTGCTACTACACCCTAATGACTCATAGGAAAAAGCTAACTCCTGCTTCTTGTAACCAGAGGGAGCAGAGGCTAGAACAAGTAAGTTTTATGGACAGTAAACAATTACATTTATGGGTTGTTTTGTTATACTGACTTCTCTTGGCCCCTTTCTCCAATGCAACTTGGAGACAGGAATCAAAGGTCAACCTAAATCATGATCTTTCTTACAAATTTCTTATCCCACTTCTTTAATTTTGAAAAGACAAAAAAGCGCCACTCATCCAAGTTATTAAAGTGTACAGGCATATAAGTCATTATATGTAAGCTGCTTAAGTGTGTATAAGCTAAATGGCTGGATAAAACCTTCACAAAGTTGAAGGTAAGTGAACAGACCTTTTAAACTTCTTGTCACATTTGTAATTCAGAAAACAGCAATTAGTTTTCATTCATCACACACACTTCTGATCGTGCTGCAGTACTTGTATGTGACTTCTGACAGCAGTAATTGCTAAAGCTTAACCAAGTGATGCATACAACATTTTAAAATTATTTTTTTGGCATTACAACACATGGAACACAAGTACTAATTGGAGCCAGAAAGGCAGCATAGTATAGACGTTTCCTGTTCAGTTTTGACTTGCAAGTACTCTGCTATTGCAGCAGCAAACACTTATTGGGTACATTACAGTCAGGCCAAACTACAGAAGCTAGCACTTGTGAAGTTGTGGTCTGTTGGATGAAAATAAAACAGCGAGGTTCACTTTATATGAAAACTGGAACAGCTTTAGATGCATAGTTTAACAGATGATATGCCAGATAGCTTCTGTGTTAGACCCTGAAAATCCTATACTCTTCCTCAATCCTCCTCCCACCCTTCCCTCCACAAGCATATGGCATAGATAATTTGTTTGATTTTTCAGATTTTTTCAAAAGTTAATAGAGTGCAGTGTAACAAATATCTGAAGAGTACAGAAGTTCTACAATTATGTACTTTATCAACCGTTAAGCATGCACCATGGTCCTGATCACTGCTGCTACACAGAATAGCCTAGCCAAAGTCCCAGACCCTTTCAACCTTCCTGAATTATCTACCAGTGTTTTATAGCAAATAAGCTTTGGATTGTATTTAAACATTTATTGAAACACCACTTACTGGAATAGGAAAAGTCTTCACTTACATTTTATGTCTGCATACATATGGCTGACGGTGAAGCGGTCTTTGCCTTCAGGTGCCCATGCTATCCTTTCAGCCATAAGGTAGAGAGCCCCATCCTGCTTCTTCTGACGTACCTTCTTTACTATCAGTAACACTTCTTCAGATGATGTCGCCATTGTGGCTACAAGGAACTATTAAAAAGAGTAGAGCTGATTATCATCATCATCACTTACCTCTTTCTATTCCTGTCAAGGTATTACAACCCACATTTACTCATTAATGCCTACATCATTTTTGAACTATTGCAGATAGACATGCTCCCCTGTGACAATGCAGTTAGCAAATTTATTTAGACAAAACAGTGCAAGCTACTTAAATAATTCACCTAATTATATTGCTGAGACTCCTCGTGCTCCCATAAAAGACCTGCACATCTTAAACCGATAACCGAGTTATCCTATTTTAATATTTCTTTACTGTTTTTTCAAGCTCAAAAGAAAACCAAAGCTACACAAGGAACACAAATTCCAGATCTCCTCTGGCATTTGGCAGCATTTCCCTTCTTCAGTACGAACAGCAGATGCTAAATCATTTCACAAGACGGAGGGATACAAGGTATGTGAAAAAACAAGGATTTTCAGTTCTCCTCTGCACTAAAGATAACAGTCCAGTTACAGTCCTGTTCCTACTGTAGTGATTTTTGCCCAAGGCTCGAACGATATTTCGTACGCTTGATCCCAGCTGTCTAGTCTCCTATCCCCATCCCTCAGAGGAACTGGACTGTATTAGACCTGCTTCAAAAGAACGGGAATTTTTTCACTAGTCTCTCATCGACTAACCTTTTGATACATGCTGTAATCTTTCCAGCAGTCACCATCCCTCCTCTTTTCAGGTTCACTCTACAGCCTTAAATGTCTCAAGAAAATATGTATGCCATAAGTACGTCTAGATTTTGTTAACATACTATTGCACACTTATCAAAGAATCCCAGGTTTAGTTTGTTTGCTGTAAATGTTTAGTCTGTCCAGTTGCTATATTTTGTACACCACAAACTTTTCTGTTGATATACAGAACAGTATTTTCAAAAGGTGATACATGTATTATACGTGTTTTATAGTAATGTTTGCTGGTGTCTGCATCAAACTTCAAAAAGCAATTTGCATCACTTATCACACTAATAAGTATCACAAAATGACACTTCTGAGTATTGAAATTCAGATTTTTTTTTTTTAAGACATAAGCAAGATAGGAGATCTTACTCTAACAATCTAAATAATACGATAGCATTCCCTTCGGCAAGTCAAAACCCATCATTGAAATGTGTTAAGTAAAATACTGTATGGGAAGATTCAATGGCAAATGGGCTCTCCACTTAAGCTTTGCTCATTTATCGTGTCACTCAGCCAAGGCTTCGCCCAAGACTTCAGTGATGCTGAGCTGAACGTGGGGGTTCACATCAGCACCACTGCAGCAGCCGCTAGAACGTGCTGTGCCACATTCAGAGCAGCCCTGCTAATACTGCTCTCTCAAGGAAAACTGCATGGCGTAATTTCAGGACTGTTTCCTAGCATAATCCATTACAGTCTCCCCAGCAGCATTATTCTCTTTTGGTGCTATTTGTGCTACCATTTTATGGAGAATTTCCTGTTGCAGGTCTGTAGTCTCTCATCAGCACCTTATCCTTACCGGAAAAAAGCAGCTAGCCACAGAATCCAATAGACCAGAAACTTCAATATACGCAAGACTACAGATTTTGACGCTTTTCTCCCCTTGTTAATTTACAGTCCTTTGAGATCATTATTATCAAATGCAGTAGAGACAAAACCACAGAATGCAAAGGAATTGAAATTGTTCTGAACAGAAAGAAAAGGAAAGCGTTTCCATAGTCAGGCATTCTGATGCACGTTGCTTTGCTTTTAACCATGCTATTTCACCCACCTACAAGCAGTCTTTTAACTACGGAGGGAAAGGATCAGCAGCTAGCAACTTCTCCTTTACAGACGCAGTGCTCCTAGCACAGTACCCTGCAGTGTGCAATCTGTGAACGCAAAATTATCCCACAAGTGGCTCATTCTACCTTCTGGGAGAGCAAATGCATGAGCTTGCTGCCATTCTTATTTGTCACTGCTCTGCTCCCTTTTTTATGCAGTAATTTATGGTGGCAGTAGGGTGATATGCACAATAAGCATTACCCAAAATGGAGAAAACCCCGAGCTGTCTTTTAAACAATACATCAGGAAGAGTAAGAGAGGGTAATAATCAGGACTTAGAAAAGTTACCATCTTTCACAAACGAGAACAAGATGGCTTCTCTTGTTACAAGAAGTACAAAATTCTAAAATAGAAATCTCGCCCAGCTGCTAGAGAAGTGTGAGGATGGTCTCCTACTGACTGCAGAGGGGAAGGCGATATCCTCACCATGCACATGCAGGGAGCCAGTCACTTTCTCTTTTCTCTGACACTTAAGGCTTACGATGAAGAAGGGTGAGAGCCATCAATGATCTGCTCACGCCTGCCCCAATATTCTGACATCTATATTTAACAACTCTGCTGAAGCTTCCAGGAATCAGTACTGCGGATGATGATGTTGCTGCTCAAAGAGGCAACAACTGCACCATTCCTAGGGAGGAAATCTCTCATTTTACATCTTTGACTGATAGTTTTAATCTGCTGCTAAAAGAAGCAGTGTTGGAGTTGTTCAACTGCAGATTTTGGAAGACAGACTTATCTGTTTTAAGCATCTTCTTGAATAGGAAAACCAGACAGTTTATTTGAAATTCTGTAGTGACAAAGCTTTTAAAGAGAATGGCTGATAGTTATGAAAAGCATCTGGATAAAAGGGTAGGCCTTAACCCAGGGGTATGACTTTGCCATCAAGCCTGTCTTGAGGATGTCAATGTCAGCTGCAATTTACAACTGGCAAGATCAATCAGGAAGCTTTAGCTTTGCAGAAAACAAAACAAAAGGTCCTCTTTGCTTGTCTACGACTAACCCCTCCTCTCCCAACCCTATGGGAATCTTAGAATCACTAAGGTTGGAAAAGCCCCCTACAATCAGCTGGTCCAACCCTCCCCCCCCCCAGTATCACCCACTAAGCCATGACCCTGAGCACCAGCTCCAACCTTTCCTTGGACGCCCCCAGGGCTGGTGACTCCACCACCTCTCTGGGCAACCCGTTCCAAGGCCTGACCGGCTTTTGGAAGCGAGCACAGCTTTTTGGCAACACCACCGCATTTTAACGGTTATCTCGCCTTTAACACAGCGAGCCTCTCCTTACCCGATCCCACAGCCGGGAGCCTGCCTCGTAACGCCCCGCTGAGCGCCCTCCGTTACCAGCGCTTGGCTCCAGCCTCCTCCTGCGGGGCTCGGGGAGGGCTGAGCAGGCCCGGAGGAAACCTTTACCCCGTTGGCTAACCCAGCGGCGGGCAGGGGCCGGCAGCCGGGCTGTGCCAGCCTCACCGCTCGCTTTCCGCTGCCGCAGGGCGGGCCGGGCAGCCGGTCCCGGCGGGCAGCCGGCGCTAGCGGCCAGCAGCCGGTCCCAGCGGGCAGCCGGCCCGCCGAGGCGCAGCCCCACCGGCCCCGTCACCTCCGCCGCGGCTCCCTCAGGGCGCAGCCGCCGCCGCGCCGGCCTGCCCCGGGCCCCCGGCCTAGCCCCGGGCCCCCCGCCTTTGTGCCCCCCGCCAGCTTCCCGCCGCCCGGGCTCGGTCCCGGCGGAGCCCCCCGGGCCTCACGCTCCCCGCCGGGCCGGGCCGGGCCGCGGCCACGCCGGGAGGGCGCCCGAGAGCCCGGTGCCCGCGATGCGGCCCCGCCGCCCCCAGGCGCTTACCGTGGGCGGGGGCCGGCCGGGCGCTGGGGGGGTCGGGCCGCCGCTGCCGGGGCCATGGGGCGGGCGGGGGGCGGGCACGTGACCGGAACACGCCGCGGAGGGGGGGGGAGGAGAGGGGGAGGGAGGAGGCCGCGTCACGTGACGGGGGAGCGGGCCGCCGCCGCGCGGGCCCGGCGGTCACGTGGCCGCCCCTCCCGCTCTCCTCCCGGCTCACGTGACGGCCCCTCCCCCGCCGCCATGACGGGAGCGGCCGGAGGGGGGGCGGCGGCGCCGGTGCCGCGCCCACCCCGCCGCTCCCCCCCGCCCCGCCGCGCCCGGCCCTCCCCGGTCCCCGCCGTCACCCGGCCCCGCGGGGCGCGGCTCCCGCTCGTCCCCCGCCATCGGGCCCGGCGGGCCCCGGCCGCTCCGCTCCCAGCTCGGCGCCGCCCGGCGCGGCGCTGCGGGGGAGGGGCCTCCCCTCGGCAACGGCCCGCCGCGGGGGGAGGGGGGGCGCCGCGTCAGCGTCACGTGCCCGGGGCCGCGCGTCACGCGCCCGCCCGCCCTCGCGCGGCCGCCGGCCCGCTCGCCCCGCCCCTCGCCGGGGGTCACGTGCCGCGGGGGGCGGCCGCTGGCGTGAGGCGGCGGCCGAGGGGGGCGGCCCCTGGGGCTGCCGAGGGGGGCTCGGGGCTGCTGCGGGCTCCGTGCGGGACCTCCTGCGTCCTGCCTCCCCCAGCTGCTCGCCTGGGGGCTTCTGGGCAGCGCACCCATCGGAACTCCTCGCATCCCGCTGTAAAAGTGCCTCTGGCTCCGTAACGCCCCCCGAAGGTAGGCTTCTGGGGCTGGGCGTAGGTGCTAAACGTCCAGTAAGCGTCTGCCTGCGGAACTTGGGCTAAGGAGTTTATAACCGGGTGCGCGTATGGTGTTGGTGTGCTGAGGTCTAATGCGCCTTGAGCATTTTCCTCTTCTTGTTATAGTCTCTTTAAACGCAAAAAATCTGTTGTAACGCTGAAAAGTGGGCTAACTGAGAACCTACCTTCTGTTTGGTAGGTGCTGAAGCTGTGATGTACCCATGAGTGACTGCTGCCAGCCTCATGCACCTATGGCCTCTGCGCCAGTCATTCCGGACTCTTACAACCATGTCCTGGCAGAGTTTGAGTGTTTGGATCCATTGCTTTCTGCACTCAGGCTGGATTCTAGTCGTCTGAAGGTGAGTTTGTGATGCTTGCTTTTGTTATTCAATTTAAGAAGTTATCCTAATCAGTTGTTCTAATTAGCCCACAAGCTTTATCATGTTCTTTGGGAGTTTGTGCGTGTTAGTTTGTGGGTGTTGTGCTGTGGAGAATCACAGAAAAAGAAGAAGTGAAGACAGAATCCTGCTGCGGTGTTTTTTTAATGCAACTGCAGGGTAAAAAATACAATCTTAGGTAGTTGTTATCTCCTACCATTTGTTTGGATCTCAGAAAGAGGAATTTTAATTTCTTTAGTGGTGGCTCTGCAGCTGGTGTTTTGAGCTTGCACATGAAGTTGGCAAGCAGTGAACTTTTTTTTTTTTTAAAAAAAAAAAAAATAATGTGAAGAAAAGATACTGTACTTACCAGTGTGTGTGATCTGTCTTATGATTTGTATGCCTTCAGTGTACATGTATAGCTGTGTCGAGGAGATGGATAGCTCTGGGCAGCTCAGGAGGAGGACTGAATCTTATACAGAGAGATGGCTGGAAGCAAAGGCTCTTTCTTACTCATAAGGTAAGGGTAAAATATTCTGGAGAAAAATATCCAGGGGAATTGGGACTGGGAAAGATGTGATTTCATGTTAATTTTTATTAAAAGAGTCGATGGGTATTTTCAGCTCCTTAAATTGTCCAAATAAGGTAATATTTCAAACTGCTACATGTTAAAAAGGGTTGTGGTACTGGTCTGTGTCCCCAGAGCGTGTGGTGTAATGTGTCTCATGAGGTGTGAAAGAAACGGCTTGAGAGGGACAGAGCTCTGCTTATCTAAATCTTACTTTTAACAACAGCAGCAAAGTCACCCCTGAATGTTTGAGTCCAAAGAAAACCCTCGAATGTGTAACCAGAACAACTAACATTTGGATACCCAAACATTAGTAGTTATCCATACTATGAACTACCTGAATAGGTAAAGAAAATGTAGGCTTGCTTGTTTTTTCTGAAGGAGGTCAAGGAATAGGGATTGCTGTTCCTACCACCCCATACTGTTTCCTGGGAGCCATTGTAGCTCCCACTATAAAATGAATGTAACCATCTTTGGAGGTTGCAAACATCTTGCTTAGTTCTGGCAAAACAGCTTATATAGATACAAGGACAGGAGACTGATTTCTGTGTTCCCAGGCTGGAGGATGAGCTGTTGATTCTCTTGATCCAGTTATGTTGTTGGCTACTGCTTCTTAGAGTAAGTTCAGTGTTTTCCAACAGAACCCAAACTAACAAAAGCACCTGTATCACCACAAACTGGTAGCAGCTGTTGACATTAATCTCTTATTTCATAGAGATAAAAGTTGTGTACTGGCAAAGGTAGTACAAGAATGTTTCTTACCCTGTGCTTACTGCCATACCTTACTTTCAGGAAGGTGCCATTTCCCGAGTTGCCTGCTGTTTGCATGATGAAGACTACGTTGCTGTTGCTACCAGGTGAGCGATATACTTGGAAACCCGAACAGAGGATAAATATTTTGAAGTAACTTGTAAGTTTCAGGCTGACATCTGCTGAGAACTTGGAGGGGGACAGGGAATTAACTGGTACAGGCTTCAACAGAATAATTCTCTGTGTAGTTTGCTTATATTTTTTTCTGGCATAATTATTCTAGGAAGAAGTTGTATTTCTGTAACAGAACAACTATGAGAGAGCTCAGCATGCAAAGATATGATAAATATACCCTTGAGACCCTTCAGCATCAGAAGAAATGTTTTCAGTGACGTGGCAGAGCGAAAGTTGCAGTTAATATCACTTATGTTGTTTAAAATTTAAATGCATATTTTTCCTTATGCTCAGCATCCTTGCTGGCAATGTCAGCTCTGAGGTGAACTTCTTGCTTAGGTTTTATATTTCTTTGGGGTAATGTGTTTTTGTCGCTGATAAAACGTTGAATGCCTTTAGAACACTTATGCTCAAGCTGTGTTTTCTTTTTAAATGTTGCAGCCAAGGTCTCGTAGTAGTCTGGGAGCTGAATCAGGAACGTCGTGGGAAACCAGAACGTATTTATGTTTCCTCTGAGCATAAGGGCAGAAAAGTCACAGCTCTATGTTGGGATACAGCAGCCCTCCGTGTTTTTGTAGGAGATCATGTGGGAAAAGTATCAGCCATCAAGATTAACACATCAAAACAAGGAAAGGTAAAGTGTCGCGTACTTCAAGATAAAGAGGTTCCCAGGCGGTGCTGTGTGGATTCTTTTTTTTTTATTCTTTAAAGAGATGTAGAACAGAGGAAAATTTGTTTTGGGTGTCGGGAAAGCAAACTTTCTGTGTAGCTTTGACCGCAGGAGAAACAGTCTACTGAGATAACAGTAGAAATCCTTGCAATTCCATACCCAAACCCTTTTTTTTAGCTAATTTAGTAACTCAGCGTAAAACTGTTTTTTAATCTATAGAACTAAAAATTTTGTGTGATTTAGTAACATAGAGGTGCTGGATTCAGCCTGACTTTGTGTGGGTAGGTTCTGACAGAAATTTGTCCAGACTTCAGAGATTTGAGTAAATCTACAGTTCATTTCAGATTTGTTTGCTGTGATCAAGATCAAGCATGGTCTCATAGAATTCCCTTCAGTATAGGACAGAGCAGTATTAAAATAGTGTGTACTGGCTGAGCTTCTTCCTCTTGGAGTTGACAAAGATCCAAGTACACAGTTCTGGCATTTCTGAGCCTGATGGACTCCTTGGACCCCTTAGACTCCAGGTGCAGTGTCAGCCACATGTTTTGGTCCTCAGCTCATCTGTCAGTCTGAGAAAGAGCAGTCACAGGCTGATTTTTTTTCTGGGCTTCCTGGATCAGTATGAAAGCTGTGCATGTTTATCCTTCTTGAATGTGTATTTCTTGGCCTCTGTGTGGATACTCTCATTCCTAAAGATGTGGAATAGTTAAAACAAATGGTGGGTGGACACAAAGTTTAAACCAATTACACTTCGTGCAAAAGGCACTCACATTAATGAATAGCAGCAGCCTCATTTCCAGTTTTTCAGTGTTTCAAGTTTTATCATGACTGGGTCACTTACTTCTCCTTTTAGTTGGTAAGATGCAGCACAATGTGGAAGTAGGCATGTTCCTTCAGGTTGTTTCCGTCCCTCATGAGAGATTTTAGAAGGAAAATTGTCTTAAAAGTATCAAGAATGTTGCATTTAAAGAGCAAGGAAATCAGCCGTGGAAGGATAGTGGAGAAAGGCAAGACCCATGAAATATGTGCCTGCTTGGGCCTGTTAAGACTGAATCTCAAACGTAGTGCAGTTTGTTAAAAGTAAGCAGTTAACACATTCATAACAAGACAACTTTAAACTGTCAAACATGGTGATTGTCCACTAGAAAATGGGAGTGCATTTTCCAGTAGAAGTCTGTCTAGGACTTGGTTCTGGCACCCATGCAAGCGAGTAATTAAGAGCATTTGGGTAATTCACTGCTGGGTAATAGAAAAAGTTTGTGAGTTTATATAAACCACCTAAATCTGATGGATTTTTTTTTTTTGTATTAAATAATCCCTCAGATCTGTCTCTATAAGACTTGGCTGAACGTACCCATGGGGAGAATTGAGAGCATTGGCAAGTGCACAAAGCTTACAAAAGAGTAAAGGACCCTTGTAAAGTTACAAAAAAAAAACCACTCTTAAAAAAAGTCTGTGTGCTATAGGATAAGATTTATTTGCTTAAAACTTTGGTAATGGAAAACTTCAGTAATGGTTTTGGGAAGAGGATGATTTAGATTCCTCTATCTCTAAGCATTAGAACCTTGTTTCATGGGTGTACCTGGGTCTGGCTGGGACATTAACTTTCCCTGCAGCAGCCCATACAGTGCTGTGCTCTGCACTTGTAGCTAGAACAGCAGTGGTATCACACCAGTGTTGTCTGTTGCTGAGCAGTGCTGGCACAGCATCAGGACTCTCTCTGATCCTCCTAGAGGGTAGGCAAAAAGGTGAGAAAAGAAACATCACCAGGGCAGCTGACCTAAACCAGCCGAAGGGATATTCTATACCATGTAGTGTCACACTCAGCAATAAAAGGTGGAAAAAAGGAAGAAGAGGGGAGGGGTGGGCTCTTGTGAAAATGTCAGTCTTCCTCCTGAACGCTGGCTACGTGCGTTGAGGCCCTGCTTCAAGGACGTGGTCAAGCATCGCTCATTTGTGGGAAGTAGAGAGTAATTTCGTTCTCTGCACTTCCATATAGCCTTTATTTGTTTTGTTTGTTTTTTTCTTTCCCCCCTCCCTTTTCCCCTTTCCCTTTTTTTTCCCCTTTAGTTAAATTTAGTTAATAATAATCTTTCCTTAATAATTATTAGTTTTGTTTCCCTTTAATTCAATTATCCTTATCTCAACCCGTGAGTTGTTCTTTACTTTACTTCTTCCCCTCCTCATCTAAGGAGGGGGAGTGAGAGAGCGTTTGTGGTGTTTAGCCGTCTAGCACGGTAAAACCACCACAATGGGGGAGAGAAGAGAGGAACTGCATTGCCTTGCTTTGTCTTAGGCTGTACATTCAAGCGTATATGAGCCTTTTCTGAATTATGCAATTTTAACTTAATGAAATAATCTTTATGCTGAACTGAGGCCCAGTATGCATTTTTTTTCTTTCTTCTTTAAACTGTAGGCTGCTGCCACTTTTGTGATGTTTCCCGTTCAGATTATAACCACTGTAGATTCCCGTGTTGTTCAGCTCGATTATTTGGATGGAAGACTGCTCATATCTTCACTTACACGTACTTATTTGTGTGATACAGAGAGGCAAGTTATGTTTTACTTGTAAAATATTGGACTTGCAAGGCTGCTCTGCAATCAGGAGGATTGACTGCAGAAGACTTTTTTTCAGCAATTGCTGAAAGAGGAAAAAAAAGCTCGTGATCTGAGTTTCTACTTAAACTAATAAATATTGCTGCACCCCATATGTTACAAACTTTATGCAGGCTTCAGAATTTTAATTGCAGAGTTTAGAGAACAAACGATCAGTTCAGCAGTTAGGATTTAGTATTTTTATTCTTCAAGAACAACATAAAATTAATTAGAGCCTCTGTTAATGCTGCCTTAACAAATGCATTTTCTCCACTAGAGAGAAGTTTTGGAAAATTGGTAACAAAGAAAGAGATGGAGAATTTGGAGCATGTTTCTTCCCTGCTGGAAAAAACAGTGGTAATCAGCAACCACTAATATATTGTGCACGGCCTGGCTCAAGGATGTGGGAGGTGAACTTTGATGGGGAAGTGCAAAGCACGCATCAGTTCAAGCAGCTGCTCTCATCACCGCCTCTCCCTGTTGTTACTCTCAGGTAATGCATGAGCCTTACCGGTGATAAACAAGCTAGGGACTTCAAGACCAGCTGAGATGAAATAAACTCCCAGTGCAGTCAAACTTTAATCCTAGCTGTCATCTTAACATGTTTCCATCTAATAATGAAAAGCAGTAGTTAAGTAATTAACTAAAATTGCTAAAGCCTTGGTTCTGTAGATCTCTCTGTGACTATAGCAGTGAATTTTGCTGTTACAAGACTGTACATTTAAGCCAGGTTTAGATTTAAAGGATTAAGAGTGTGATACTGTTATGGTTATGTTTTGTAATAGATCATTTTTCTTTACAGGATGGATCCTCACTGCACAACTTCCAGCTGCTCTCCACAATCTTTATCTTTCCCCAAGCTACTGTATTTGACGTGAGTATTGGTTTCCTGTTGATAAAGTAGATTTAAAAATCCTATAATAAGTTGTGTATACTCCTAATTAGTATTATCAACTTAATGTTTTTGCGTAAGAGTTTTCCAAATATCATGTTAAACAACTGTCTCATTTGCTGTACTTAATGTATGTAGGGATGATGTTGGCTTACAGTGACTACTGCAATTAATTTTTTCCTGGTCAACGTCTGCTTTGCTTGCAGTGAGCATTATGTTGTGACCTGGACGGAAAGAGGCATTTATATCTTCGTTCCCCAGAGTGTTCAAGTCTTACTCTGGAGTGAAGTAAAAGGTAAACTTTAAGAATCTTAGTTTGTAATGTGGTTTGTTATGTTTGCTGTATCTGAAGTCCTTGTCTAACACAAAGCCTTTCAGGCTCTATTTCTGCAGCTGGATTGCAGAACATTTATCAGAGAAATAATTTTTGTTGTCATCTGTCAGACATACCCTTGACTAGTAACCTTCTCCCCACCCCTTCCAGCCTCCATATTTCTGAGAAACAAAACCTGGTATAAAGTGAATCTTAAAGTACAGTAACAAAATACTGTGAGGTAATAACAAAACCCACAGTACTCTTTCCCCATTGCTGTTTATTCCCAGGTATCCTGTGAAGGATAATCAAACTGCTGAAAGCTGAAAAAAAAACATTTTTCTAACATCTGTCTAACCAGTGAATGTATTTGTTTGTCACACGAGTGACGCCTCATAAATAGTTGTATGTATATGGTTATAGGCACAGTCCTACAACTGTTGGGCATTGTCACTTCTTCCTTCTGCCTCCCTCCCACCTTTTGGTGTTAAGTTTCCGATGCCTTTGTCTTTGAGTGTTTGCACATAGCGTAACTATTTCCTCTGGAAACTGCTGAAAGGTCAAAGAGGTTTTCTCCTACAAAATCTTTTTGTTCTTTTTTCAAAGCTAATAATGGTGTACCTCTCTCATATTTATCAGTCTTTGTTTCATTTTTCATCCTTCAAAGGAAAAGGGAACTTTAAGTAGCTTAAGTGTACTTCTGGGTGCAGTCTAGAAATGCAACTCTGGAAAGTTTTGATACTTGAATTGTGCTTTATAGTTGTTAGATACTAGCTTAGTGCTCTTCAGTGTTTGTTCTCCATACCACTTGTATTACGCTGTTGCACGTACTTGTGCTCAAGGAAATAGGTTTTCAACTTCCTTCAGGAACAAAAAGGAATCCTGATGAATAATTTCAGTCCTTAACATGCTTCTTCTGTGCATCTGGTTTTGCAGATATTCAGGATATTGCAGTTTACAAGAGTGAACTGTTCTGTCTGCATACAAATGGAAAAGTTGTACACCTCTCCCTTCTGCTGGTAGACCGCTGTGTAGATCGTCTGATAAGAAGAGGGTTCTGGACTCTTGCTGCCAGGGTCTCTTGTCTCTTCCAAAATTCAATAGTTTCTTGCAGAGTAAGTAAATACCTCTTTGTAAATGTGCAATGTAACTCCATTTTGTTCCCTGTTCTCTTACAGTAAGTTCCATGGGTTTCCAAGGTTCATATTTTCGTAGATTTTAAGAAGTCTGTTAGACCTTATAGTTTTAGTATGAAAATTAGCCTGCATAAGTAGTTCCTTGTTAATTTTTTCATGCATGCATTAGAAATAATAATGTTTCTGTTTCCCTGTGTATTTTTAGGCAAGAAAAAATTTGCCACTAGACAAGCTGGAACACTTGAAGTCTCAGCTGGATGCCTCAACCCAGCAGGACCTCATTTCACGTCTGGAGGAACTGATCTTGAAAGTGGAACCTCTAGATTCTGCATGCAGCAGTAGGAGGAGTAGCATTTCATCTCATGTAAGTGTATTGGTAATGCCAAAAATGTTAGCTAGAAGTTTTATCTTTGTCTTAAAACCATCTTGTTATTTTCTTTGTAGATGAGGCTTTTGATTTCCCTGTGTCTACTATAGGCGATAATACTGTTTTTTAAAGTTACTTGGGGTAGGGAGGCATGAAATAATACTACTTGCATTCTTTAGGCTCTTACACCCCTGTCTTCCTGTGTTATTTTATGGCTAACTGTTAAGAAATGGACAAAGACAGATACAAAGAAGCACACAAAGAAAGCTTTCTCCACAGCTGAGTTTTGTACCTTGCCGTGCTTCAGTAAAGGTCATCTTGATTATAACTGTTGTCTTATCTGGTGAATGCTTAATGTCTGAATGTTCAGAGCTGTCCTTGCCCTGTTTTAAAAATGGTCTCACTCTGCAGCTCAAACAGAAAGCTCTAAGGAAAAAATAAAACATTCCATAGTTAATACAACATGAGTTGCTTTTGATCTAAGTATTTAAAAAGTGAAGCTTAAAAAACAGTAACATAAATTCCATCTGGACATGGTAAATGAGTTCTTTCCATTGGCAAAGTAAACTATGTGGACTGACCATGAGCCAAAGGATGTCCATGTGTCTAGAAGCAGACGGTTTTAGAGGATCCATAGTTGTGCTAGCTAGGTATGGCTTACTGGTAGAAAGCACATGGACTCGTCTGGATGTAGGTACATGGGGTGAAGTGGCTGGTTCACATACGGGACTAAAGCCAAGATGTTTTTTTGTCTCATGGTCTTGTACTAAGTGTGCCAGTTGTTCTACAGGCTGCTTTCCTGAAAGCAATTGCAGTGCGTGAATCTTTATAATGTCACTGGACTACGAGTTTAACAGCACGTGTGTCCATAGCTGTTCTGGATCTGTCAGTAATCTGATCTTCCATAGGGCTTTCTCAGATAGTGAATTATGAAGGGCTGTGAGGTTATTTCTCTTGGGATGGTTGTTTCAATTCATTGCAGGAAGTTGAACAAGGAAGTGCAACTCGAAAAACATCTGGTCCTTCTCCCTTGTCTGACAGGAAAGCTTCAGTGTCTTGGACTCGGGTATATATCGTGTTATTAGTCGACGAGGCAGTCAGTCCGATGAAGACTCATGTTCTCTCCACAGTCAAACATTCTCAGAAGATGAGAGACTTAAAGAATTTCCTGCACACCAGGAAGATGAACAGGTGGAACTTGGTAATGTTTCTTAATGAAAATATGTTCTTCAGATGCGGTATTTATTTATTCTACAAGAATTTATTTGCTCTATGCTCTTATTTTCTCCTACCAAGTTATCTATAATTAAATTTTCTAATTTTTTCAATGGAAACACAATTATCCTATCCTCTAGTCAAACTCTTTCTTGAATCATTGGGGTGAAATACTGGCTCTACAGAAATAACACATAAACAAAAATGAGAAGCGATACAAAAGGTCCAGAGGGCTTTTCCCAAGCTAGAGTTTAACTCAAAATTTTTTCCCCCTTTGTGTGCAATTCAGCATTAATGCTGAGACTGTCTTGGCTGACTGTGGCAGTGTTAATTGAGCTTCAAATGAGATTTGTTTGATGTCCCTATCCTTCCAGCCTTTTTGGCTACAGGAAAGAATTTATTAGTCTTGTCTCTGGCATTATTTCTATATTGGGGAAAATGAGTAGGCTTAGGGAGGAGTAGGCTTAGCTTTCTTGCAGGATTTCATCTGTAAAGGGGATCACCTCTTACACATTTATACATTAGCATGGGAATGATATGATTGTTAATATCTAACATTTTAACTACTCAGGGAGTGTTTCTTAACGAATACCTGTTGCTAGATGAAGCATAGTGAAATAATGTGTCTTGTTCTCTGCTCTGAAGAGGAAGAAACCTGGGATGATAAGGAGCTTGTTTAGTTCAGGGTGCGGTAGAGAGGCTTTCCAATAAAAAGGCTGCTCTTAGCTGTTGCAGAGATGTTTGAGGAGGAAGACAATTTGGATGCTTTGCTGGAGGAAAGCCACAGTAGAGTGGGAGAATTTTTGCTTCTCTGTTTGTCGGTAGTGTGTCCTGCTGACTAAGGTACATGATGTTTGTAGCCCTTATGCTTACATTTGTCTCTTTACCTTCGTTCCCCAAAAAAACGACAAGTGAGAAAATGTGCAGGAAGGTTCCCTAACATTAAAACTCTAAAATGAAGGGTCGTAGTTCTTGAGCATTGTGAGTTAAAACTCTTCTATCTGTTCAGTAAGTGATAGCAAATTTGCTAATTGTTCCAAGGTAGAGAGGTTCTAGATGATTCTTGAAGCACATGTACTTCATTTGGTATTTAAAAGCAATAGACTTAATGAATTACTTCATTTTTATTTTTTTTTGCTGTGCTGCAGCTGGTTTCCCTGATCATATTTACGTAAGATGTCACAAGTTTTTTAGGTTGCTAATTTGTATAATGAACAAAAGCAGCCTTTTGGTCCCAGTCAGTTGTGACCTTTAGGCCCTATTGAGGAGAGTGGATTCTGTTGGAAGTTCTGTAATAGCACAACATCTTTTCTTCTCAGCAGTGCAGATAGGTCTGACTGTTGCAAAACAGTGTCATTCTTACTCAAAAGTATCCTTTTTTCTTCATTACACCCCTTAAGTGTAATGCTTAAGTGTGCTTGTATGAGGAAATGACTAATCAAAACACCCTGTAGATACAGGTAGGTATATAAGTGAAGAGGAACAAGTCAGGGGCTCCTGTATTTCCTGTGATTCTTGTCAAAAGCCAGAGTTGTGGATTTAATTGTGTTTTGAAGTCCCTTCAAATAGGAGTGATTTACACCTTAACCAAGATTTGTGTTTCTGTATTTCAGAGATAGTTTCCCTTTTAGGAAATAAGGCTGTGTGAATTGATGCATATTACCACATTAAAATTTCGTATCTGCTTAAATAATTAACAGTGAATTAAATTAAGTTTATTGTCTCTGAAATGAGCTGTAAGGTTACGTATAGATTGTAAGTTTTCAGACAGTTGTCGCTGAATGTTATTTGCCTTATTATAGAACCAAAAGGTTTGAAGTTGGTAATAAAATGGTCCGTGAGACTAGGTAGTGCTTTTCTGTCTCCACATAATTTTCAACATGAAATACTGAAAAATATGATTATCCCACGCAGATTATCTAGCAATAAATTAGTGACTTCAGCTTTATTTCATTGTTTCATTTTTGCCAGGCCATTGTTTCATGACTCTTTATTTCAATTCCATTTGTTAGACAATGTATCTCATGCATCTGTGGCGGTTGAGGCTGACCGGAGTGAGACTTTTCTCCCATTCAGTATTCCTTTGTCATTTCGTTCCCCATCTCCTCTCGTCTCTCTCCAAGCTGTGAAAGAAAGGTAAAATTTGCAGGAGGTTCATTCATCCATTACATCCTTCCCTTTTATGTTCTCTGAATTTGTAGCATTGTCTGTTTTAATTCATACTCTGTTCTGCAAAAGTGTAACACCTGAAATGAAACACTGCAGATGCAGTCAGGTTTGCTAGGCTATTTAAAGCTTTCATCTTGACTCTAATGAAGATCCGAAGAGCTGCTGCAAGCTTCAGTGCAGCCAAGATTTCAGCCTTACTGTTCTGAACGTCTGCTAAGAATATTTAACATGACCTTGTAAACTGTGATAGTGGTTTGTACTCAAAAAGAAACTTACTAAAAATATTGTTTTAGAATTTAGCTTTTGTGCTACTTGGATTTCTAAATGATAGGGGCTTGTGGGCAGAAATTAAAATATTTGAATGGTGCCAATATTTGAATATTGCCAAAACACACTTGTGAAGTGTACCGTCTAGCCTGCCATCTTTCTCTCCTCACATATGCACCTTTCAGTAAATCTAATGAATTCCTTAAATGTTCGTGGAATAATGGTAGTTTACACCAGGTGCAAGTAAATATGGTAGCAGTCCATTTTGTGCAGAAATCAAATTGCCTTTTAAAAACTCACTGCAACATATAAAGCAAATGGTGATAAAAACATAACTTAAATAATTCTTGTGAAACTGGTGTGTTCCTCAACAAAATGTTACTGCTCCATAATGACGGTTTGAATATTACCTCTTCTTTAATCACTTAGGTATGTCAATTATATTCTGCAACAAAAAAATGTAGTTGATATCAATAGTGTGAGTATCTCAGAACAGGTTTCAGACATACATGCATTGTTATGAGTTCTTTCTAAATCATAAGCAACTTTTAGGAGTTTGAGTGTAAACAGTAATAGTAATTAGAACTTAAAAGTAAGTACCCTCTATGTTCTATTTATGATTAAATAAAGTAAAACAGTTGCTTTTTTTTACTATTGCTTTTTAAAATTTCCCTGTAATCCTAAAAGAAGGTGTGTGTGTGTGTGTGTGTGTTTTGTTTTGTTTTGCTTTTTAATGCTCCTAAACTAGTTCTTAGTCAGAAAGCAAGAGGCTGAGTTCTTCGTTCAACTCTGGATAATGTGGTTCTCCTTATGGTAGAAATGGGTTTCTGTGTGATCACTGGGATTTCTCTTGAATAAAACACCTGGCAGGAAAAAAAAATCAATGATGAGAAGGGTGATTTTAGTGAGCTTTATAATCGAAGAATTAACTCTGAGTGCTGTAAAATCATTTCTTACTACTAAGAGGGCCATCATTTCCTAATGCTTTCCTGATGCTTTATTAGCCCTAAAATGAAATGTAGCCAGTCTGCGTTTATTTGTGCAAATATGTCAAAATCTAAGCACTAATGTTAGTGTGAAAGCCTATGTTTTCAAGCAGCAAAAAACAAGTCTTAAGTACTTCAATTTTCGAATCTTTGTGCCGATATTACAGGACCATGACTCAAGCACAAATTCTGAGCATTTTCTTGGGGAACTTTTGTTCTCGTTGGCCATCACTGGTAAGATCCTTTTCGCAGAAGTTCTTCAGGTTATAAAGATGTCTGAAACGATGGTTTGAATGGAAAGAAAGTGCTTGATTGTTTCAGTTGTGAACTTTGAATTTCACGTGTTTGAACTTCTGATTTCTAGTGTTTCCAGCTTTGTACGTAAAACTACCGAAAAGATTGGCACGCTTCATGTGAGCCCTGATATTAGAGGGAGGCAAGAAGCAAAGGATGACGAGCACCAGCAGGAGGTGGCTGTCAGTCTGGTAGCATCTCCCCAGGAAGAGAGAGTGTGAGTACAAAATCATGTTGTCTTAGCAGTTGCATTTGCTGGGTGTTCTGAGGCTAGCAATCTAAAGAAAATGTGCTGTTTCAAGGAGAATGGGGAGCTCAGGTTGTTTGTTTGTTTGTTCGTGTTTTCACAGCTGCTGTTTGCTACTCTGGGTTTAGCTGGTTCTTGCTGGCTTCTTACCTAGAAACTGGTTCAGGATGTTGGAGCATGCAGTCTCCGTAGTGCTGTAGTTACTGAATTGTAAGAACGTAGTGTATTCAGCAACTCTTATGTAGCATACCTTTGATGGCTGCTTGGGGTATGAGTCCAACAGTTTGTCCTGCACTTACAGAGTGGGGAGTCAACACACTTCTCCCTCAAACCGTGTGTTATGGTACCTATAAAACGTAATGGCTGTCCAGTTAACACAGAGTTTAACTGTTTCATATTCCAGTAATTTGATAATTTATGGTAACTTTCATATGGTGTCATATTTTTTTTCATTTAGTGTCTTCAGAAATCTACTGTAGTTAGAGCAGAAGCCATAATAAAGGTCACAGAAACATTATGGTTGCTCTTCATGTCCAATTCATCTGTAACTTCTGTTGGTTGAGCTGTTTCTTCTATAGAAATTGGAGCTTTATTTTTTTAATAATGGAATTTATGTTGTTTCCTGGCAAATCTGAGGAAAATCCTCATGTAAATTATTAAATACAATGCTTCAGTGAAGGCTGAGATGAATGTATTTTTCTAGATCAGAACCACAGAGTTGCCAGCTTCCAGAAGAGGATCATCTAAGAGATCTCAAGGCTGCAACAGCAGAAGCAATGTAAGCTGGGCAATTTTTAGTGTCTAGATACGTTGGGCTTTAGTAGAAAAATGACTGATTTTTTTCATTGCAAACATGTAAAAGTAATGTTGTAAATGTCTATTAATGTTACCTGTAAGGCTCTCATTTTGGTTAATGATTTGTCTCCCCTGTTTAAAACGAAGCAAAACCCACTATAAGCTTGGTTAGGACAAAAGTGTAACACCGAGTAACTATATCCTAACTGCAAGCATGCTTAAAACAAACAAAAACCAACCTACGACAATGGCAAAAAAATAATAAAAAAAATCACTAACACAATGTGCACGCACACACACACAAATGCACCTAACAAAAAATCCCTGGATGTCTTTAAAAGACATTTAGATGTAGAGCTTAGTGATGTGGTTTAGTGGAAGACTTGTTAGTGTTAGGTCAGAGGTTGGAATCAGTGATCTTGGAGGTCTCTTCTAACCTATTCTGTGAAAAATCAGTTCTGAAAGAAAGCTTGGGGAAATCGGGAAGTACAGCAGCAAATGCAGATGGTGCAAGTAGCTTAAATTTTGTTTGATGCATTCAAAACCACAAAAAAGCAGCTAACTGTAAGTCAAGTTCAGGAGTATACTTTGAGTTGGACAAAACATACATAATATTTCACTTGTGATGTCTTACAGCTGTGAAGCAACTTAGCAAGTTTCTTTTTTTTTTTTTTTTTTTTTCTACAGAGCCAAACTCCAGGATCCCCTGGTTTTGTTAGAACCACAGTGCATGAGAAGGGTTTTACGAGAATGGCTTGTCTATCTGGAAGAAAAATTTGGCAGCAGAGAGTGTTTTGATTCCTCTGTTAGGAAGAGCAAGACTGGATGTGCTGAAGAACAGAGGGAAATCCTGGAGGAAAACCTGCAAGTAGATCCAACTGGTGGAGACCTAGTAGAAAAAGAACCGAATAGTATCTTGGAAGACTGCACTGAAAGTAGCGATGAAACTTGTGAAAGCCAAACCGTATGTGAAAATAGTACTAATTTCAAGGGACCTTTGGGTGACTGCTTTCAAATTTCTGCTCCATGTGACATAGAACCAGATGTTCAGAAAGATCTTGTGGAGCTGACAACTCTGTGTTTTGAGCTAAGTGTGTTTTCTTGTGGAAATGGTGATGCAGAGGAAAGCTCTGATCAAGGTCTGCCATTAGCAACTTTGTCAACCTTGGCTTGTAGGTTTATACAAAGCTACTTCTTTCTTCTGGATTTGAAAAGACTAAAGCAGTGCATTATAACCACGTATGCAAACAGCCCTAATGTATGGAATACATATATTGCAGGATTGAAAGGTAACTAATGAAAATTTTATTACTAGTAGACTGAGAGAAAGACTTTTTGTTTGGGAAGAAAAAGAAAATAAAGTTTGAATATTCCCATTTATGCCTGCAAATTTTCCTTCTGTGAATATAGTGGGGAAAGGTGATTGGTAGGTGGAAGGTTTTGTTCTGTTTTGGGGTTTGTGTGCTGTTCCCCAGAAGGCTAATATAGGGAAAAACTACTGGCTCCCAGGAGAGAGGAGCCTCATTTTGCAATTCCATAAAAACTACTTCTGAAGCTGTTAATGTATATGGAGCTTGTTGGTTGAATGGTGTGGCAATTACAGACCAGATCTTTGTGAAAGCAAATACACGCCCTTCAACGAGCAGAAAAATCTTATGTAAAATCAAATATCTATAGAAATAAGGCAGAAGGTTGGAGATGGGACTTCATTATTTGCATTAGAAATGGAAGGTCTGACTTAAAGAGCACTGTCATTAGTGTGAAAAAAGGCTGAATGGTCCCATGCAAGTGAATGGCTTGTGATCACTTCAAACTTCCCTTTTCTGCAGAAATCCTTTTGACATTTTTGATTTCTTTTTAGTCTTATTGAAGTAAAGCTTCCTGATTATACTGGAAAACAGAACTATGTCTGTTCTCTGTATGCAGCTTCTGCTTTGTGTTTTCTTTTAAGAGTGACTTAAAGGCTTAGCATTAATTTGGCACTAACAGAGATCAGTCAAAGAACAGAATCTTGCTTTGATGGTTGGCATGTGGTGCTGGGTTTCTTGGAATTTATTCATAATTTGTGTCTTCATGAGAGCTTTAAAGTAATGTATACATTCCCAGTTTGCTCTCAGTTGGACTGTACTCGTGTTTGTAGACTGATACCAACATTTCATCAGGATCTTGGTTTATGATGAATTCTGCTTTCTGTGAATTCAGTGACCAAACTGAAGTTTTTATTTATTAATAGAAACAAAACATACTATACTGAAAACTGCAGATCTACATTATATTCAGCAAGCCATATGTCTTGCAGTGTGCACTTGTGTTTTTTTTACTAGAGAAAAACTGCATCCTCTGAAGTCCAAAGACTTCAGAAATGAGAAATATATCAAGAATATTATTCCGTGCCTTCATTGTATCATTTATAACTGAAACTTGGAAGCCCTGCCTCCAAGTGATGTTGACTTCCATGAAATGATCAAGTGTTCACTTGTTGCTACTGTTCTAAGGAAGTAGAAAAGGTAACTTGTATCTGTACATGTAACAACAGCTTTGTGTGTGTTAAGGCAAAACATTGTTTGTATCTTGTAACACGTGCACTGATTTATTTCAGAACTAACTTGTCACAGTCCTGTTGCTTTGGCAATGGAAAATGAAGATATGTTGAAAATACTGAAACTGTTGCATGACCTGGGGCCCTGGGATGATGGCCCTCTGTTACTGGTACATGCTCAAAGGTAGCCAAGTCCTTTTTTTTCCTCTTCTCCATGTTGTGAACTTGCTAGCAGGAATTGGTTTTGAGAGCTTCACACTTTATGAAGCTTTCTGGGAATCTCTTCAGAAGATCACCTTTCTGAAAATGTTTTTTGTTCTGTCTCTCTTCAGGCTTTATGAAAAATTTGGGGAAACAGCTCTTCGGCCCTTAATCAAGTTCCACCCCTCTATTTCACCTTCTGATATCAAGCAGCTTTGTTGGAATGATCCAGCTCACTTTTTAGCATATTTAGATAGCCTGCTGAAGTCACAGCCAGAGGATAAAAGGTAAAGGGAATAGAGAGCCTTTCACCTGTGTGCTGCCTTCATCACATGGCTGTAATTTTTTTTTTGTTTAACTGTTTTGATATTTCTATGCTTGGTGCTCTTTATCATTAGTTTTCAGATCATTCTGCCAGTTTTAGTTGATTTATCAGTATGGATTTTATTAGCTTAGGTACTAGTTCTAATATTTTTTCCTGCAACATACTTTCAAAATAACCTGCTATTTTTGTTCTTGTGCCTACTGTTCAGCATACCCAGGATTAGACAGTATTTAGGGGGGGAAAAAAAAAAAGCAAGGGGAATCCAACCTCTGTCAACTTCATGGGTTTCAGTGGTTCCCTTCAGTTCCTAGGAACATAAATGATTCTAGTTTTTTCCATACTTAATTTTAATCATGATTAATTTATTTGCTCATGTGCAATTTTTACGTCTCCATGTATCTGGTATATTTAAAATCAGTATTTTTTCCCCATGTGCTTTGTTTTGTAGGCCATCTCTTCTTAGATCTCTTCTGCAACCGGAATCAATACGACTGGATTGGTTGTGCTTGGCGGTTTCTCTTGATGCACCACAAAGAGCAAATACTGTGGATGTGGAAGGAAATCCCAGGTAAAGCGGAGTTCACCTGAGGTTCTGAGTGCAGCAAAAAGGGAGGCTTAGGTTTTATATGACACTTTGGATGTCAGTGAATCCTTGGAGCATTTTGCATATTGCAGAGTTCAGCAGAAGCAACCAAAGGATTAAATAACTACCTGTAACAGCCTTATTGAATGACTGTTCTTGCTGAGACTACGCCGTGTCTTGTTAATGTTCCTACTTCTACTTGATAAACCTGAATTTCTTGTAGAGAGAACTTTTTTTGAAGAAAACCATTAATGTTTTAAAACAAAAATTTTATTTGTCTAGGCCACGATCGCATTTGTTTACATGGGGCTACAGCCAGCTCATTCTGCTTTTGATTAAACTCCCAGCTGATTTTGTTACAAAAGAGAAAATGGCAGACATCTGTAAATCACATGGGTAAGATGAAAGCTTGCTAATTCTTTATACTTGCTTCATTGGTACTCTTACCCCAAAAAGATACAAACAAAAAACACTTATCTGCTCCTAGCTTGAACAAGTTTCACTCAAAAACATTTCCTGTTTTGAGGATGAATTTTAAGAGTCCAATTTAATGCATCTGATACCCTTGTGAGCCTGCTCTGTGATGAGCCATATGATTGTTGGCATTCAAGAAGTGCAATTGCTTCTGTCTTCCTTAAGTGAATATTTAATTGTTCTTCGTTTCAGTTTAGGATGAATATTTGATTCCTGGAAATTTTTACTCTGTTATTTAAGGTTTTGGCCTGGTTACCTTTTCCTCTGTTTGGAGCTGGATAGAAGAATAGAAGCCTTTACTAATATTGCTCATTTGGATGATTTGAGCCTATTGAATGAAGAAGATGGTTAGTGAATCTTAAGCTGTGTACACATTTCTGCAACATCAGAACTGCCCTTAGTCTCTGCTGATTAAGTTTCTCAAAAGTGGAGTTAAGCTGTTTCTGTTGGTGGTGGGTTGTTTTCTTTTTTATTTTTGAAGTGTTTTGGTAGCAGTACCACTTGCTTGGTGTACAGCAGCATATTTGAAAAACCTAAGTGGATGTTACGCTCTTGCATCTTCACATGGTGTTTCATTAAATCAGTAACTCTGGAAAACATTTAACACCTCAGGAATGTAGGGTGGTTTATCAGGAGTAAAAGCTAGATTTGGAGGAAAAGCTAGCCTCCCTATGCGGCACAGAACTCCCCCACTACACATGTTTATACACACAAATTTGCAATGAGCAAAGTATTGTCCCGGTAGCCTTAAGATGAAACAATTCTATGTTTTTTGACTTGACAAAGCCTCCAATGCTGAAGTATTGCGAAGTTTTGCACTGAATCTTGACACTGAGTCAGTCAAGGCAATACAGTTCTGTATGCAATTTGCTTGTTGATGACACTTGATTTTCTTGCATTTCCAAAGAGAAAAACAGGATAGCTATCTTCCTTTTTAGGTATGGATCTGTTTAAAACAGTAGGCTTGTAATAAACCTTGTTTTACAAACAAGGTAACAAATTTGTTTTTGCATCTAGGTTCAATTCCAGAGACTATAGAAGAATGGAAGTTTCTTCTGCATCTCGCACAAAATCACAGCGCTGTTTTCCACCACCATGGCCCACAGAATGGAAATGCTGCCAGCGACGGTAGCCCCAGCTGGCCAAACTGCATTACTGTAGAAAACATAGCTCTCTTACTAGCAAAGGCCATTGGCCCAAATCGTGCCTTGCCTCTATTGCAAGAGTGTGGCATGATGCTAGAATTGTCTGAGAGATTTACTGGAGTGTGTGAGATACTGAGAATTGCTGAGAAAAGGCAAAGGTAAGATGATGCATCAACGGAAGATCTGTATATGCACACCATTCGTTTTAGATCTTCTTGGTGCTTTAAAGTTTCTTTTCAGTTAACAAAAAGATAAAATATTTCACACTTCTGCCTTGAATTTTAAACTCACTGAAAAATTTTCTTTTAAGAACTATGTATTGTGCAATGTAGCTACCTTAAAATGGGGGGGCAAAAAGGAAATGGAAAACTATACATTAGATATATGTGAAGGAGGTTTCGTCTTGTAGAGAGTCTGATCCAACCCCTCCAGAGAAAGCATGCATGGTGATGTCATGATATGTAATCGTGTTTTTGACAATTTTTGACAAAATGCTTTAAAAAGCAAAACAGTTGTTTCTATTGTTATTTTTTTTCAACAGTTTAACCTTTTATTTTCCTTTGATTTTCTTGCAGAGCCCTGATTCAGTCTATGTTGGACAAGTGTGACCGGTTTTTGTGGTCTCAGCAAGCATAGAAAAAAAGTGGGAAAACTCTGGGATCTGTAATGTGTATATTAAAGTGCCTCTTAAATTTTCAGGCTCTTAAAGAAATGAGCTTCTCCCTAAAAATTCGGTTGTACTGAGCCAACATCCGTCTGACAGGTATCTGACTGGGAGCTGTTCACAGTGCTTTCTTATTCATTAGAGATGAGTTTTACACTCCAGAACTTCAGTCAAAAGAATCCAGTATTTATCTCAAAATTAAGCTCACAGATTTCCAAGATGAAAATGCCTTAATTTATTTTCTGAGTCTGCATGACTTAAGCGTTAAGGGTATGAGCCCCTAAGGATCAAATCATGGTGTATAGATTTTTTTCTCATTGTTTGCAAACACGAGAAGCCATTCCTGGGAAAGATTTAAGCATGTAATTTTTCATTTTCCTGTAAATAATATTTACTTTTTAAAGTAACTGTAGAAGTACTTGGTGTAATATATATTTTTTCCTCTTAAATTATATACGCTGTTCTTACCCATTCGCAATTAATTATTTGAGACAAGTCTTAAAATACTGAGAAAATATTTCTCAGGAGTGGGTTAATGGAAACCTGATGAAAAGAACTTACTAAATAAACTCACTGTTAAACTATAAAAGTGACATTTCTAAATTGCCTATATCTGCTTTTGAAATATGAGTGTAGACTCTGGCTGTGATATTTGACAGACCTCAGGACAGAAATATTCCACAGTGGTTTTTGACCTTTTAGAAAGCAAGAGGACCACATATCTTATTCTAATATTTTCTTAAAAGCTGAATGTGTAGAGTTATTTCAGATCAATGCCATCAAGCAAGAAATCTTTAAATATCTGTTATAATATGAAGACTCGTAAAATCACTTGGGTTTAATTTCTTGTTTACAGAACTATGTTTTATATGAGTACTGTTTCTGCACTTAATGCCTGTTTGAACAATTTCCTTTTTAGGCTACTAGTTTTGACCCTTTTCACTGTTAGATTCTCACAATTTCCTCACATTGTCTTATCAATAATCAATTTTTCCAAGTGTCATTTAAACAACAACAATAAAAAAAGCTATTGCATGCATTAGAACAAAACTTTATTCTTCTCAAAATCTGTAATTTGGACAACAAATGCCTTGAAAGCATTTCTTTATACAGATATGAAAAAGAATCTTAGGCAGATTTGCAGGACTTACACTATTCCCAAATAGTGCTTTTATTTTCATCAGAATAGGGCTATAGTAATACAGCTTTCCGACTTGGATGGATGCAGTCTGACTCTTTCATCTCAATTGCAGGAAAGACTTTATTGTGGAGAGTTGGTTACTACACTAGAGGAAATGAAGCTACAGATAGAGAATTAGTAGCAGGTTTCCATCTCTTAATACTGTTGCTTGTGGAAAAGCCAATAAGTAAGTACTTCTAAAAAAGAAAACTTTGAACACTTTAGATTTTATATTTTGACATGGAAACAGCACAGATCCTTCTGTGAGAAGCACGCCATGCCCTTATGTTACATTACAGTAAGACTGTTGGAGTAGGACCCAGGCACTTACAGTATGTGGTGAGGTTAAACAGGTCGGATGATGTCAGTGTCTGTTTATCTGCCAAATGAACACACTGCTACCTCAGTGACTGTTAGGCCTAACTGTTTCATGCAGTACATCAAAGCTTTAGCTGAGATACTAGTGTTGCCTTTCTTAGAGGAAGTTAGCTGGCTTTGTAAGACTGTAGCTGACTTATCTCTAGATCTAACTGTTCTACTTTATTTGTTCCGTGTACGTTGTATACATAGCAGCCTTTTTCACTTCGGGGAATATTTTGTACGCTCAATTGACTTCTGTTGAGTGGTGTGTTTGCTTTTTTTTTTTTTGCAATAAATCATAACTTTCCACTCCAAAGTTTTTCTTGTTCTTAATTTTTTTGTTGTAGTAGTCATACTGCTAATGTAACAGGAAGTATTTGTTAAAATCTGTAATTTCAAGTGAGCTTGTGTTGATGACTTCAGTTAACTTGGTTGTCAATAAAGAGTAAGAGTTTATTTTTTGAAGACAAGTCAGCAAAATTGTTGCTTCCTATTCTTAATGCATATGCTTTCATCATATATGGATAATGTGAAGGAACTGTGATATGAGATGATCTCATGCTTAGAATTTAGTTGTACAGAGCAACGCTATTATCCTTAGGCTTCCATGAAGGATCCCCCTTACCAGCTCTTCATCAGCCAGTTAAGCGTACACCACTGGTCAATTAAGCCAGCCTGCAGTGAAGCAGCTTTTTTCTCCTCCTCTTCCAAAAATAAAAACAAACAACCTTCTGACTGGCTCAAAACACTTATTTCACCATTAGAATTATCAAAACCTACCAGGAGCTGCATTTTATTTAAGGTAAACATCTATACATAAGATCTATTTCTTGAAGAGGGGCCATGTTTGCAGTTACTAAGTCTCTAAGCCTGATGTCAATGCTCGTAATTACCGCATGGACCAGCACTGGCAGAAGTCCTGAAGTGAATTCTTGCTTGAGTAAGCTAAGACAAGGCCATCTTCCCAGAATATAGAAAAACAGCATGTATTATTGTTCCTGAGTGGGGAATTCACCTCATACCATTTCCCAATCAGAGGCTTATTGATTTAGGTTGCAAAATACCGAGATTGCAGAATGACTGCATTCATAGATACTTAAGATTAAAAAACAGTTTGAGGGGTAGAACTTTGAATAGTGTTTTATTTTAATTGTATTGGTGTGTATAAAGTCAGAAGACAGTCTGAGTGGCTCTTACGTATGCTACATTTACCTGGTATATACATGCAGCCTGTGCTTCAGTGCTAGAACAGAAGGGAATATTTTGCTCAAACACTGGTGCTTGTTCATTGGCAGCTTGCCTATGTCTCTGTGAAAAGGAGCAGTTGTTGGCTGCAACATTTTTCTGTGGGCCAAGGGCTGTGACTGGGAAGGCAGGCCAAGAAGAGACAGGAAAGCAGGGCTCAGGAGAGTTAGGAGGATACACTCTGTGATCTAAGGATATGCTCCAGTACTTGTCTTCTTGCAGTTATTCTCATGTTTGTGCTTTTTGCAGAAAAAGCTTAGTTTAGTGGGAATGTGAAAGATCAGACTGAATTATAAAACTCAGAAGAGCCTTTTGTGCTCAAAAAATGTCTGAGCTCTTGTATGGAAAAGGTCCTTAGGTTAGGTCAGTTTTGCAGGTAGTGTTCTGTTATAGGTCCCTGGACACAGGGGCATATGTGAGAGTTCTAGTGAGCGAGCTCTACCTCAGTTTATAGGAATTATTTTCCAGTCAGTGACTTACTTTAAATCAAAATGAAAGAGGAGACAGACAGGGCTCTGCAGCCAGCAGAGAGATGTACTGAAGGGGCATGAGTCATCAGTAGGATGTGAATAGAGTTGTGGTAAAACTTGGCACTCCAGTCCCTACAGTAACTGTGGCGTTGCATTGGTAGACGTGAGGTTCATGGGTAGCAAGGGCAAAACACTGGCTCCCTGCTTTTTGTAAGGTTTCCCTTTCTCTTGGGTTAGGGTACAGTTTCTCTTTGTCCCAGATAATTGAATTTAGAGATACGGCATATAAGAAAATATCTGTCCTTTTGCTCCAGGCCTGTCTATGGAAAATATCTCTTGTTCTCCTTAAGTACATTTTTCTTTGGAGGAAGAAGACCAAGGAAGACAGCTGCTGGCACTTATTAATCCAGTTTGTTATCGTACCTCTTTTACCTCATGCCCCTGCTGTTAAACTGCAACTGCTAATTACATGTAAGTGACAGAGTTGTGAATGGGACAGCAACACCTACCTCTTTTGCAGAGAATTTGAAGAAACTCTGTGATTCAGACTTGTTAAATTATGTATGAGACTGCACAATAGGAGATGTTTTGCTTGCTTAGTCCAGAGCCTTCTGCAGAAGAAACGTGTCAGTTGTTATTAAAAGGGAAGCAAGCACCAAGCACTTCTTGAGTAGATCCCTAACCAAGAGTAGGACAGTGAGTAAACAAACTATGAACCACATCGATAGGGCTTGACAGTTGATATGGCAGTCTTAAAATCTAGCAGAGATGTGACTATATGGGTTTGAACTTCCCCTTTGGTAGAACATTTACTACTGCATTAAAACCTCTCCTTCCTTTAGCCTCCTTGAGCCCTACAGAGCTGTTGTTGCAGCAGGATGGCTGAAAGTCCCTTGAGAGGAATCTGTGGGAGCAACCAACAGAAGGACAAACCATCTAGGCCTTCCTCAGGATGGCACAAGTATGTGCTATCTTAAAGCAAGGATGTACATGTTCACAGTTTACTCTTAACTCCATTGTGAAGCAACACTTCCATCAGCTCTGGGATCCATCCCAGCACCTAGTAGTGCTGGCTATTCCTTGCAGTTCCACACTGTTGGCTAGCTAAGCTCCTCGGTGCTGCCCTCTTGTTCCCCATCCTTAAAAAGACAGGGGAAGAAAATATGAAAAACATCTCATGGGCTGAAATAGGGACAGTAAGGCCACTCACCAGTTACTGTAGTGAGTAAAACAGACTCAGCAGTAAGGGAGATTAATATAACTTATTGCCTGTTGGTAACAGACTCAAGCAGTGAGAACTTAAAAGCAAACTAAAAGCACCTTCCCATCATCTACCCTCTCCTATCTCCTTCTCCTTGAGTGGTGCGGAGGAACAGGGAATGGGGGCTGCAGTCTGTCCCTAATGCTTTTTCTCTGCTGCTCCTTCACTGTCAATCTCTGCCTCTGCTCCCCATGGGGTTCCTCCTATGGGATGCCATCCTTCCCGCACTCATCCTGCAAGGGCTTCCTACAGCCAGCAACTCTTTAAGAATTCCTCCAACATGGCTCTGTACCATGGGGTCCAGCCATCAGGAGCAAACTGCTCCAGCACAGGTGCCCTATGGGCAGCAGCTCCCCCCAGACCCCTGCTCCTGTGTGGGCTCCTCTCCACGGGCTGCAGCTCCGGCCCGGGGCCTGCTCCTGTGGTGAGGGCTCTCCTTGGGCCGCAGACTCCTCCAGGCCACGTCCACATGCTCCACCATGGGTCTTTCTGCAGGCAAACTTCTGCTCTAGTGCCTGAACCACTTCTTCCCCTCCTTCTTCACTGACCTTGGTGCCTGCAGGGCTGTTTCTGTTTTCTCACACATCTCTTCTATCTGCTATTGTGCAGCAGTTTTTTTCCACACCCTTTCCTAAATGCTGCCTCAGAGGCCCAACCAGCGTCGCTCTCTGGCTTAGCTCTGGACAGTGGCAGATCCCTTTTGGAGCTGACTAGAGCCAGTTCTGGTCTGTCCTGGGGCAGCTGTAGGGCTCTGCTCACAGAGGCCACCCCTCAGCCCCCTGGCTACCAAACCCTTGCCACACAAGCCCAATACACTTGTGCACAGAAACAGACCCAATCTTGTGCTCCAAGGTAAATGCAGGTGATCAGGCAGCTTCCCCTACAAGCTCTGTCCTGCACAAGTCCCCAAAAAGCGTGACTGTTAAGTCAGCCATAATACTTCAAACACACAGAACACTTCAGTCCTTGAGGCAGTTTCTCAGTCTGCTTGGTGTGAGGAGCAAATATTTCCATGGACAGCAACAAAGAAGCACCATACACTCTAAAAAGTTGTGCAACAGGGTCCATGAACTTTAGCCAGGACAAGGGCAGGCTTACTGAAATTCTGTGTTGAAATGAATGGTGCTGGGGAATTCCCACCCCTGGGTATTCTGCCCAATTTCCTCTTTTGGGAGCCTGAACCGCTTATAAATACCCTCTCTGAGAGCACAGGAGACAAGCTTCATCTCCTCCTGGCTTTGCCTTTCTGGAGTGGTGAGTGATACTCTGAATTTACAATTTGCATGCAGTTTTCTCTTTTTCTGGGGAAAGAACTAATGTTTTAGCATGTGGGACTTCTCTGTACTCATGAAAAGAGCTGCAGGGAATGCTAAAACACAAGTGTCTCCTGTCCATCTGTCTTTGTTGAAGAGTCCTGTGTTGAGCTCGTGTTTGCACAGGAGGCATCAGTTCTTGTGGGGCAAGAAGTGGGCTCGTGGGCTGGCTGCTAGCACTGGGGTGGCTGCACAACTGCTCCTGCAGCTGCCTGGGCACGGGTATGAATGCTGTGTCAGAAATCTCTATTGAAAGCTCTAAAACTGTTAATCTCTCTTTTTCCCAGCTCCGTGTCACGCTTGGACAGGGAACCATGAGGCTCTGTCTCTGCTTCGTGTTGCTCGCTGTTATTGTGTGTGCAAGTGCTGACAACCCATTTACACGTGGTGGAAGATTTGTCTTGGATGCAGCTGGAGGTAAGCTGCTCTGTTGCCACAGGTCTTTCCCTCGGGACGCCTCCCCGAGCACGGGTTACATGCAGTCAGTGGGTTCAGCCCTCCAAGCAGGGAGGTCTGCCGCTCCCGATGAGGGACCCCTGCTGGTTGCTGCTGGGAAAAGGCCCCTGGTCAGCCCCCCGGTCAGCACTTTCTGTTGGCAACTCCCGTGCAAAAGCCAATGTGGAGGAGCACCTCTGCATTTCTTTTCCTTGGGCCTTTCTAAGCACAGCACAAAGGATGTGACAGGCCAGAGCTCAGGCTTGGGCGCATCCCTGCAGCCAAACAAGGCACAAGGACTGAAGGAATGGTCATTTGCTCATGGAGAGCTTTTTGTGGAGAAGCTGGGGGCACAAACCCTCTGCCGGTAAAGCCCCAAAGTGCATCCAGTGCTTTCTCTGGTGCACAGCATGGAACTGAAGGGCCACTGCCTGCTTGCTGAGCTTCACCTGCCCCTACGGTGCCCCAGCCAAGCCATACAATACTTCCATGGCTCCATGAGGGTCTCCCCAAGGAGCCCCCTTTCTTCTGCTTTGCCAACCTCCCCTAGCTTAGCAGAAGAGGTTTTCCAAGGGAGCCTTGGGGACACATGCAGCTTTCTGGCCCAGCAGCAGCCTGTGAGCTTCTGGCTGAAGTGGTACTTGGCTGTTGCAGGGACGAGATTTTAAAGTTAACATCGCCTCTGTCTCTCTGCTTTCTTTAGGAGCATGGGACATGCTCAGAGCATACCGGGACATGCGTGAGGCAAACATATGTAGGTGCTGACAAATATTTCCATGCTCGTGGCAATTATGATGCTGCTCGGAAGAGGACCTGGTGGTGCTTGGGCAGCCAGAGTGATCAGGTAAGGGAACTTCTGTGGTTGTTAACAGCGAGCTCCTAGGGATCCGGGCATCCCAGTCAGAGTGAAGTCCTTCTTGACACACACACAGCTTTTGGCCCAGAAGGAGAGGGGAGGGGAAGCAGTCGGTGCCTGAGCAGGCTGTCTGCAGATGGAAAGGTGCCTCCCTTCCCATATAGCAGGGAGCCTTTCTTCTCTTCCTGAGCAGGCAGATTTCTTATCTCTGCATTTTTGGTGGAAAAGCGCTATTTTTCCTTGCTGGCCCACTTCCTGACATAAGTTACAGGTTCCACTGCGGTGCTCAGATAAGGACTTAGCATGTGTCTGCACCTGGTGCTGAGCAGTCCCATGGAAAAGCTAGTGTTAGGCGAGTGAGGAACGAACACGAAGCGATGCCTGTGAGGGGGGTTTGTGCTGGCTGGTTCACGGGGCCCCTTTTGTTTCCTCCAGTGATGCTCGTGAAAACTGGCAAGGCGGCGTGAGCGGCAGAGGCGCCGAAGACACCCGTGCCGACCAAGAGGCGAACGCGTGGGGCCGCAACGGCGGGGACCCCAACCGCTACAGACCCCCGGGCCTTCCCAGCAAATACTAACGCGCGGTGTGCCCCTTCCCCCTCCCTCACACCTTCCTCCCCAATAAAGAAACCGCCAATATTTCCTGAGCCCTGCCTGGTTTACACTCAAGCGCCTTTTCTGAAGGGTTTGGGGCCGGGGGGGGGGCCCTCGGGTGCCGCGGCGCGGGGAGCTCCGGGCCGCCGGGGGGCGCTGCGCGGCGGGGCCGGCCCGGCCGCCCTCCGCTGCCGCCTCGCTGCTCGCGGGGAGGCCGCCATGGACCGCAACCCCTCGCCGCCCTCCAGCGAGGCGGAGGAGGAGGAGGAGGGCGACGCGGTGGGCAGCACGGTGTACAGCAAGCACTGGCTCTTCAGCATCCTCACCCGCCTCATCGAGGTGCGCCGCGGGGCGGGCGGGAGGCTGCTGGCGGTGGTTTTTCCGCCACCGAAGCGACCGGGCGGCTGGGGGGGGGTGCGCGGTGGCCTTTCCTCACCTACCGTCCCCCTCTCTCCCGGTTTCTCTCAGGTCATTAGCCCCGAGAAGACCGAGCCCAGCGCGAACCCTGAGGAAATCCAGACGGAGCTGGACGAAGAGATGGAGAACGACATTTGTAAAGTGTGGGACATGTCGATGGATGAGGTAGGGGCACCGCGGCGACTGGCTGCTGCCGTGTTGCTGCTGCTGAGTGCCTTCAGCCGAAATCCTGTCCCCAAAAGGCTGGGGAAAGGCTTAAATGTGCTGGGCCAGCTTTCTGACGCAGGTGGTGTTGCTGCTTGCCTGGTTTGGCTGGCAGCATTCTGTGGGTCCTTAAACAGGGCACGGGTGGTGAACTGGTCTGAAGCAGCCTCATCGCACGTTTTGAGACAGCAAGTGCTCTGTGTGTGCGCCTTAAGCCCAGCACTAGATGAAAAGCAGGTCCTTATCTTACATCCCATCTGCAGGGCCCTGTGCTGCTGGCTGAGGATACAAAGCAGGGCTATATGGGAGGGTAAGGGAAACAGCTTGGTCTGCCTGAGCCATCCTCCAGGTGTCCTACAGGTCACACAGTGCTTAGGGTCAGCTGGCGGCAATGGGGCCATATTCACACCTGCTGGTTTTCTATATTACCTGCAGGTGTCGAACTGAAGCCTGGAGTGAATAGACAGCAGCTCAGCTGCACCTGAAGTGAACTCAGCTTGTATTTAGCAATGTGATTACTGATGCTGTCTCTATAATGGCATGTTTTCATCTAGCCATGTTAATGCTAGTAAACGTTTTTTCTGATCAATAAACAGTCTTTTAAAGTTTAGCTTGCAATGGCAATTTAACATATCTTTTTGGTATTTTTCTTAACATTCCCAAATTCTGGAACAAATTCTCAAGTAAGACAAGGATTTATTTGTAGTTCTCTGTTTAAATGTTTCAAGTAAACATGGAAGATGTGTACTTCATTCCCAAACAGAGAACTAATACAGTGATTTAATGAGGTGAAATGAGGAGCAGATTTCCTCTTTTGTATTCTCTGATCAAGTGCTAACGGTAGTTCTTTCTTTTTTTTTTTTTTTTTAATATATGATGTCACTGCTTGACAAAACAGTATTTGCTGAATTCTGCATGGAATTAACATGCCTGACCCTTTGTTGAGATAGAGGAAATAGAAACTAAATATGACTGGTTTGTTGTAGAGCCTATCACTGGCATCTTGAATCACTGTATGGGCTTGCTGATCTTCTCTCAGTAAAAAGCAGGAATGGTGGCATAGCACATTATTGGTACTAATTGTTGGTAAATACTTGATCTCTTGTAGTGAGTTTGACGTCTCTGATTCAGTCCTTGAACTATGTGAAAGGGATTGATTTGTGTTTGGAAATTGTAAAATTGGAAAGTCCGTTTACTTTTTCATTCACTTTCTCCACAGGATGTCGCTTTATTTCTTCAGGAGTTCAATGCCCCTGATATATTCATGGGAGTTTTTGCCAAATCCAAGTGTCCTCGCCTGACTGTAAGTATGGGCTGTCAAAAAACTGTCCCATAATAATAGCAACAATAAATAGCTCTGTACCTGCTTTCCTAAATATCTCCTTCTCCCAGTTGCATTTTTGAATAAGGATAGTGGAACAAAGAGAAAACAAAATTAAAAAAATGTTTCTTTGTGCAGCATTTTTAATATGGTCCAATCAGTAGGTATTTTGGTGATGCTGAAAATGTTCTGTGTTATTACTGATGAAGGATTAAATGTATGAAACTTAGTTATACTAAGGCTAGTTCTAATAATAAGTAAGGACTGGCCTGTTTTTTTCCTGCTAGCTTTTTCTGTAATTACTATTCAGAAATGGTCATGAATTTGTTTTGTTAGACCTACAAAAGTAACCTTAGCTGTTAGGAATCATTGGAAACCACTCCTTAATGAACTTTTTTTTTTTTTCTTCCCCCTTTGTTTCAATGTCATTGCTTTGCAGCCTGTATTACATAATGCACTAGCATTTAGAAATTAAACCAGGGTTTTCAGCCTTAATCGGTGTTCTTATAACCTGTGAAGTTGTCAGAACATTTACATCAGGAGATGAGTAGAGGCACACAGGACTTTGAAAGCTCAGTGTTTTGTACTTTGAAAGTGTGACTGAAATTGGGAAGTCAGTTTAAATGGGCTGTCACTAGATATTGTTTGGAATAGCAGCGGCTAGAGTGCCTGGTGTAATTTAGCAGAGGTAGGAGAATGTTAATAAATATGCTAACTTCGATTGGTTAGGGTTAATTTTCAAGTTGCTGAAACTGAGCGATTCCTAGAACGTTCCCTATTAACACCAGGCACCTGCAGGTGTTCTAGAGCTCCCTTTGTAGAAGTGTGCATCCTTCTAGTGACTGTCCGACTGTCTGGGCTTGAGTATTTTAATGGGATGCACTGCTTTTTTTTTTTTTTTTTTAGGAAGCTCATATTAAGATGTGTTTTTTCTTTAGGAGTAAGCGAGTATATGTAAAGAGGAAAATCATAGGGTGATATTTTTGTTCTTAGGACTCCTTATTGCTTTTATAATAGTGATACCAGATTTCTAAACAGTGTATATAGACAATGCAAGCAGAGTTTCATTTTGAAATGTATTTGCTTTTACAGAACATCTTAACTATGCTAAATATCAGAATAGTACTTCTCCTGAGGATCCTTCAGGCTAGTCTAACAGCATACCTTAGAAATATTGCCTAGAAATCGGTAGGACATACCAACTTGGAAGTCAAACTGGAAAGCATCTTTGAACCTTTTTTATTTTTGTCTTATGGTTGTGAAAATAAACTTGTGAACTGTGTTGCAGTTAGTTCATTATACCTTGTTTGGACTTTTCAGGAAATCTGTGTGGGAATATTGGGAAATATGGCCTGTTTCCAAGACATATGCATGTCTATTAGTAAAGATGAGAATCTCGGGTAGGTATATATGTGTTTTATATGTGCTTTTCTGGACTCTCACAGTTATGGAATATACATTGTAAAAGGAGTTAAGTTGGTTTGCAGTGCCTTTGTTCACATCTTTTTGTCATATCCTTACTGGTTGAGAAGTATTCAATGAGAAATAGGATGCAGAATATTGGGGTTCTTTTGTAGTCCCTGGTCAAGCTCCCCAATCTTAAATTTCTACGTTTGGCAGTCTTGAAACCCTGGTAGTGTATATACAGTCTGGAAAAAAAATGGTTTTAATTTTAGAACATGGCTGCAGCTATGAAATTAACCTTTTTGTATATTTTTGAAAAAGATACTTTTTACTAATTCTTACCTTAAATTTTCTATTTAAAGCCAAGTGTTATTGCAACGTTTGTGTGATTCAGATTCTCCAACTCTGCTGGAAACAAGCAGGTAGGACATCTCAGAAATTAATGAATCATTAATTTAGTTCAGCTGTGTTGTGAGGCCATGGGGGAAAAATTGACAAGTGGTCTCATTATTTTGATATTTTCCCATCTTACCATTTGTCATTTCCACTTTGTTCTGAAATTGATTTGCTGTGGGCTAGATTCCTGTTTTTTGTCACACTATTCTCATTATTTTGGTTTTACGCTTGTACTGCTAAGATCAATGAATTGGCTTTTAATTTGTGAAATGGGCAATTCCTGTCTAGGTTGTTGTTAACTTGCCTCTCCCAGCCTGAGGTGGCCAATGTTTGGGTTGAGAGAATCCGAGACAGCCCTTCGGTGTATGACTGTGTTTGCTTTATCATGTCAAGCTCTACAAATGGTGAGTTGCCAAAACAAGCTGAGAATAAGTGGTTTACAGAAAAAAATAAAAAGTGAATTATGCCATTTCAGAGACAAATATTTTCAAGTGGGAGTAAAGAATTTCTTTAAAATAAGGTTAAACTCATGATAATTTAATAAGGACACCAAAATAAACTTGTCCGGCCTTTAAGGGTTTGTAAATATATCTAAAGCCAACATGGGAAGTGCATTTAGAAGAATGAGAAAGTTCTGTGGGGGAATTAAAACCAAGTCAAATAGAAGAAATTATTTACACAATAAAGGAAAGGACAAGGTCCTCATTAAGAGATGTGCATATGTCATTTTTGATATTTGAAACGAGACCTGATTTAGATTATTGTTGTTGTTATTTTAATCAGATATGTATTTTCCATTTTTAAAACTACCATATTTGAGGAATGTGAATGGGAGGAATAATTCAGTTTCTCTGAGTGGCAGCAGAATACTGCACAGGCTTTGGGTACGCAGTCAATGGTACAAAAGTCTCTTCTTTTTTGTCATAGCACTAATTTTGCAAAAAAAACAAATCAAGCACCCAATCATGGAAACATTTTGAGCAGCATTTATTTTTTATGTCCACTCAATTGTAATAGCAGTTGTCATTTGTCTATGAATCCTAATGCTTTAGCTTTTGCAACTTGAAAAATACCAGCTTTTTTGTTTTTTAAATGATCTAATGCTCGTTCCAACTGAAATCGCAGATCTACTTAAGTAATATGCAGATTAGCAGAAAACTGCACTAGGGACAAATCTTGGCATGTTTTATTTTGGAAGCAGAAGTTATGGCTTTTCAGGAACTTCAAGTCTCTTTGAAGAAAAAAGTTTTGTTTTATAATTAATAAGGTAGAATGTGTCAGTGGACTTGTCAGCAGTCCCTGTTCTTCAATCTCTCCACCACATTTATGCCCCTAAAAAGTAATGAGCACAGGAACTGTTAGTAGATCATGAATGAAACTAGTATATGTCAACACTGAATTTACTCTGATACTTGTATATGTTAGCATTCTGTAAACTAATTTTTGCTCTTTTCTTGAATTTGGTACGTTCTTTTGAGTGCAGTTGAATTGCTGGTAAAAGTGGGTGAAGTCGTGGACAAACTCTTTGATCTAGATGAAGAGCTAATGTTAAACTGGATTAAAAGTGGCATGTGTCAGTCTGTGGGACCGTCTGTAGATGATTCCCCTGAAGAACTTCCAGATTTTAAGATTGTGCCTTGTATACTTGAAGCAGCCAAACAAGTCCGGTAAGTGAGATTTCTTTATGGTATCGAGGCTGGGGAGTCTTCTTGTAACCTCGTTAAGGCTTGTCTCTGAAACTCTTGATTTTTAGCAGGAGCTACGTGGTTTGCCAGATCCCTACAACACGTGTGCTTGCACCTACCATTCGAAATGAGCTAACTAGCTTGTTAGCAAAGAGCATGGCAGACTGCTGATGGTCTGTTGTGCATCTAAAACATGTAGAGAATAATGAGATAATTCAGTAATCATATCTTTAACTTGGCTTTGTTTCTTGTTTTGTTTCCTGTAGCTCAGATAATCCGGAAGGACTTGATGTTTATATGCATATCTTGCAGCTCCTAACCACAGTGGATGAGGGCATTCAGGCTATTGGTAAGACACTTGAATTGCTACATATGATGGGAGTAAGAATGACAGTAACTTCTAGATCATCAGATATGGGAAGAAAAACAGTTCATGTACCTAGATTAAATTTGGTGGTTTTTCTTTTTTTTTTCTTTCTCAAGTGCAGGCTCCTGATGGAGGAAAAGAAACTTGGAGTTTGCTTTATGACCTAGTTTGCCATGAACTCTGTCAGCCAGATGATCCACCGATCATTGTGCAGGAGCAAAAGACTGTATTGGCCTCTATTTTGTCGGTGCTATCTGCTATGTTTGCTTCACAGACAGAACAAGAATACATCAAGATGAGAAAAAGTAAGCCATACTTTTTTCTGTTCTCCTTTTTTTTTTTAAAAAAATATTTTTATAATTGATATGAGGTGAAAGATGGTTAGTTTATTACTGTTTTCTAGAGGTTAGTTCAGAACACAGAATTCAGATACATGTTTGAATAAGGCACGTTACTTGTGACTCAAAAAAATCATAGCTAGCTCAAAGTTCTGGTACTGGATACGTCTGAAGAGTTATGGTAATGGAACCTACAGATTCTGTTCAGTCTTCTCCACTGGCTAAATGCATGAAAACTGCAGAATCTCTCTTTGCTAAAACATGAGGTCTTGCTGTCATTTTTTTTTTCTAGAAGGAAAGATTCTTTTCTTAAATCCATCTTTATCATTTGTTACTTTTCAGTCCATTTAGAAGTCTTTAGAATTACAAGTTTACCTTGGGAATGTGAGTCACCCGTGGCAGGAGGAGGTTTTGTTTTTGTTTATCAGATAGGGTTATCTGGATGCACCTTTAACATGCTAGCTTCTCTTTTCCTTTTTAAAGGTGCTAAGTCTGACTGCCAGCAAGGTCTGGCTGCCTTTAGATTAAGTTCTAGTTTAGTATAGCAGAGAGATAAAAGTGGGGAGGGAATGTTGCAGAGAGCCCTGATCCTCACTTTCCCTGCCACTTCTGCAGCTGAGCCTGCACAAATTATCTGTCCTCCTAGAAGGTGAAAAGTGGCTTTGTTTTCTTCTTGCTCGCAAGACTCTAGAAAGAATTGTGCTTGCTCTAGGTTACCACTAGAAATGTTTTCTTTCTATTCCTTACCAGCAGTGTATAATTTTAATAGGTACAGGTTAGATTGCAATAAAGAAGTACTTGTTTTTTCTGTTGTTCCACGTTTTTTTAAGTCTTTGATTAAAAACACTGTCAGATTATACATTCCTTTAGCTTTTGTATAAAATATTCTCATCTGTTTCAAAATTCTAGTTCCTTGGTAGGATTGGGGAAAAAAAATCAGTGTTAAACTTCCACTTTCTTGTTACTTTATATCAGATATGCCTCTGATTGGGAGCTTGATTCGTATTTTACAATACATGGAGGGCTGCGGGAAGAGATCTGTTGATAACTCAAAGGAATCTGAACAAGAAGAGACTGGAAAAGGTGACCTAAATGAGGAAGATTTCCACTTGAAAATTTTGAAGGATATTTGCTGTGAATTGCTTTCCAATATGTTTCAAGAACTGACCAAGGTAAGAATAAACAAAGTTTGAAGAGGGATTTCAGCAGGGTGGGTAAGAAAAAAAAAGTTACTATTAATTGGACGTTTTTCTGAGCAACTGAAATTGCGTGTTGGAAATTCATTAAGGAATTGATCAGAAAGTCAGCAGCAACGTGTATCAGATGGCAGGGACACAGGTTTTCAAAAGTATGTACCATCAGGGCCAGGATTCTGTATATTAAATTTTTCAGGTGTATGTTGCCAATTCCTTTTGAATAGAAGTTAATTTAGGAAAGACCTATATAAATTGATCTTCTCAGCTGGACTTTTTTTTTTTATGGGAGAATTCAGAAGAAGAGACTTCTGAGGTGTCGGTTTTCACACCTTTTTTAATTAATGTCTGGCATTGTCTTAGAACTGTACATTCTACTTCCTTGTGGTTTCACCTGTTACGAGAACAAAGTGCTGCAGCCACTGTGTGCGCAACTTTGAGTTTTTCTTTGACAACTGCTCTTGACATGCTAGTTGTATTTCTCACTTTATTTTCCAGGAAAATACATTAGAAGGACTAAACCAGGGACATTTAAATGAACAGACGTGTTCATGTGCATTCCAGAACCTCTTGCCACTCTATTTTGCATCAGTGAGTATATGACAACGTATATAAGGTGGATAAAAAATACTATTATTGCAAGGACTTTCAGAGACAAGCGTAAAACAGCATTAGGACAGAATTCTTCGGACACATGTAATGTGCCATTTTAGACAGTCTTACCCTCCCCTTCTGGCTTGCTTCAGCCAGAGCTTTGCCTCCATCATCAACTGATAAAAGGTCTAACTGTGCTGAAATGAATGAACAATTCAAATTTTACGTCAGCTAAGAAGTTGCCCTGTATGGTTTTATAGAATAATTAATAATATTTTGCATAGGAAGCTTTTCTTTATGTACTTTTACATGATAAAATAAGAGGCTGGGGAAGGCAGTGGTTCAAATTTTAGACCGAGTGAAACTGTGGAGTTGAGGAGGAAGCTATCTACCGTGGAGCATTTCTCATTATTCTTTACAGTGGCTACTGCTGGCTGCTGTGGCTGGGAAGATGGAGTAGAAAGACCCTTAAACTGACTATAAGAATTCTGTGTTCCAAGCAAGTTAATGTTTTGTATTTTTGTTTGTTTGTTTGTTTTTTATTCCGTGTATGTGTGTGTGTGTGTTTGTGATTTTAATTCCAGGTGGAGAGTTTCCTTGAAGTTCTGCGTGAGGCTGATCAGACACTTGCTGAAAATCTAGAAAAACGTTTCCCAAGCCTGAAGGTCCACACCTAAGACTGTACATGAAATACTTTCCTTTTTTGGAATGAAGATTTTTGACTGTTCATTACAGTGTTTCAGAAATCAGTTTTTCAGTAAATGTGAAAGAATGAGTTAGCCTCCGAACCAACAGGTGACTTTTAAGAAATTTTCCAGTTAGACCTGATTAAACTAGGGATAATCTGGTCTGCATGGGGAAGGAAACTGTTGTAAATTCTGTTCTGCACCTTCCATCCTGTTTGCTCTGGTGACGAGAGACTGTTGATTTCTAGTTGCTCTTTTGTGGAGTAGTGTTGTTTGAATAACTCCTGATCTTGTGCTTTTTAACATATGTTGAAACAACAGAATGGATGAAATGCACAGAGTTGTTCTTAACGTGATGATGGCATTTTCCAAGTTGCTGCTGGCAGGAGGAAAATTGATCAGGAAATCTCAGATATCCTTTGGCTAAGCACCTTCATGCACCTGATGAAAACAGTTAAATTACACAGAGGAGAGGGGTTTCCTTTTTTTTCTTTTTAGATCACATCAGTACCTTGAGCAGGTATTTTAACAGATGTTTCATCCCGCACCTCTAAAATCTTTACCTGTCTTTGATTGAAGCATTTTTTGCCCGGCGGCTCTGAGTTATGACATCTAGGCCCAGCACATTTCAAAGGATTTGAGAATGTGGTTACCAAAGGTCTGTGCTGCAGCTTCCAGCCCTGGCAGCCAGCTACCCAAAGTTAAGAGTTGTAGGATGGCTTGGATTTAATCCTTGGCATACTTGCAGACTTTTTGCTTTTTTAAAGCAGCAAGTACTTCAGTTTAGGAAGACAACATGTATCAGACAGTTCTTTCCTCATTCACATGTTTTATGAGTCATCTGTGAATGGCATTAGAAATGCCATGCTAGCCTGACTTTTCAGGGGAGTTAAGATGTTAAGTCAATTGCAGTCAGTTAATTCAGTGTATGGAGTCTTCTAAAATGCCACTTCTAATCACATTACATTTTAACTACACTACATTGTTATATCCCTGCATGCAGTGCAGCTAGTATTCTTTTCTGTGTGTGTGAGCAGCACATCAGCTCCAGCTGTTGCTATAAAGCAGAGTGCAGAGCAATTGGTCTTCATCAGCTTTGGGATGTAAAGGAAAAGTGGAAAACAGAGCATAGGGAATAACTTAATACCATTATGCACACGTTCCCTTGTTCCCCATGTTTTTTATACGTTTAAATGTTGTGCTGGGCCCTGTTTTGTTTGCCCTGAGTTACCTGTACATGTGGTAAAATACAGTATCTGTATGTATATATAGCCTTTTCATCCAAACTTCTAGTTTTCAAAAAAGTACAATTTAATCTTTTCTTTGTGCTGCCAGAAACTTCTTAGTTGTTGGCAGGGGACTTAGAATTTAAAAAGTCTGACTTGTGTCACCAAAAAGAATTGCAGTGGTTTCTATCAATTTTTGTATGCTGTGTTTACTGGAGAAAACTGGTAACTGTGAATAGAATGACAGCATTTTTCTTACTACTTTGACATTTTGGGATATTTTCTTAAACCTACAGATTTGTAATAAAGTTTCTTTAAAAAAAAAAAAAAACACAAACAAACAACACTGTATGCTTTTATTCCTTCCAAGTGTCAATTAAATTTGTTTTCTGAGCTACTGGAAATGTCTGTTGCTGTCTTGAAAATGTCATTTTTAAAAGGAAAATTGAGCCTCTTCATACTGTCATTGTGCTGTAAAATATATTGTCCTTTATTTAATAATCATTTTAACTATTTCATGTTTCCTGTGCTTGGCCACTGTTGTGGTCTGGAAGTAAAGGTCTCTCTCATGCAGTTGCTAGCTTTTCTGGACTTCGTTTGTCCCCAGATGTATTGTATGTATCTTTACAGTAGCCCACTACAGTTGAGAATTCGTTCTGATTTGCATTTCTTGAGGTTTCGTGGTTTCCAATAGTGGTTTAATGTACCAAGAAGGTGAGACATCATCTGTGTAGTTTACCTGTATTTGGTTCCTTCTAATTTACCGTACACAAGTGCCTGGTGTTGGCTGACTGTTAAATGTGGTCTTGCTAATTACAACGAGTGGGTGAGATGTGCCATTTCCCTGATACTACTTTTTGAGTTGGATGCTACCTAATGCCTGTTGCGTAGTAGTCGAACAAGTGCATGATTTCAATGCATGGCAAACCAAATGGGTCCCACCCTCCACTCTTCTGCAGTACAAGAAGCTGTAGGAGCTTTCATCAGCCTTGCTTCGGCAGAATGATAACTCAGGTATGCTGGGAATGTTTGTCCTTGATAAGTGGAATGGAGATGGAATTCCCCACTTGCCCCACCAAACAGCTGCAACCTGTGCTAAATGGGTGAGACAGAGCAAGACGTTGGTGCCAAATCCTATGTATGCATGGGAAATGTGCAATGTGTTTGGCATTCAGATGTGGAAGAAACTGCTCATGGGTGTCAGATGTGTCTGGCAATGGTGCCCATGTACTACATCAGCCTGCCAGCAGAGATCTCCCTGAGCTTGTGCTTCATGAACATAATATGCCTGTTCAAACTACAAAGGTGTTTTTTTTTTTTTCTCTCTTTTTTTCCTCCTTTTTTTCCCCTCTCCTAGCCATGCTTTGACACTGGCTGGCAAGCCAGATCTCTCTGGGTTAGTCGGTTCAGAACAGATCTATCTGTAAAATCAGGAAAGCAGCTTTCTTGCAGACCAAAGACCTGATTTACTTCCATAGCATCCCTCCTCTGTGTAAAGTACTTTTCTCTGCCTCGTGCAGGGCTCCAAACGAGAAGTAGGTATGCAAAGTGCTGTACGAAGGTAACGGGAGCCTGGTCCTGCTTAGACTGAGCTGGATGTGAATGGTGGTATGAGAACACCTAGAAAGGAGAGGTAGAAATCAGACTGCAAGGGCTTTTTTTAGGTCTGCATAATAATTTCTTTCAAATATAGGATTATAACATTATTTTGACTCCTGTTTTGTATGTGTCTTGCATCTTCATAGTGACTGTTTTCTGATGGGACAAAGCAACATCTGCTCCCTTGATGGTGTAAGGAGCTTGCTGCTGTTCACGTCCTTGTGCTTTGCCCAATATTTTTGTCACAGACCTGCCACTTCTGGTAGACTAAACCAAGAAGCCTAGTATGCCGCAAAATCCTTTTTTATAGTATTCAAGTATTCTTATAACTGCTATGGTGATTCCCTTTTCTATAAGATTGTGCGTTGCTGATACTGATTTATTATAACCACATTGGTTGTAACTAAGCCAAACACAAACACATGCACACAAAATTTAAAATCTGTTTTTAAAAGTCAACTGTCTTCGTAGTTTATGACAGTGACATGAAAAGGTATGGTACCTTACAGTGTCTTTGTTTGATGGTATTGAAAATCTGGTCTCTTTTGGATTATTTTGGATTACTAACCACAGATTATCTTGGCTGTTCACTGAGTTGTAAAGGCAGCAGCACCTCCATGTTATTTTCATTCAAAAAATTATTTCTGTTTCTAGAGCAGAATCACTTGGTCACAGCAGTTCCACAGCAAAACCTTTACTTTCAAAAAAATATATATTAAAAAATCATTTTTTCCTTTTTAATGCTTGCTGTTTACTTATTTTCTGTTCTAGATGATGATGAAATTCACATGCTGTGCTGAATTCAATGATAAAGGAAGAACCTATTACACCTGAGGCAATGACCAGTCTGCTGTAATACACAATTTCTCAAAAATCCTTAATGTGAAGGCAAAACAAAGCAGTGAGCAGCTGCGTGTTTGCTCCTCAGTCGCGGCCATGTGCATCAGTCATGCCGTTAGTGTGCCCATCAGTTGGAGCTGATAAGCTGTGTGCTAAGCAAACCTGACATGATAAGGTTGGTAAAATAAACCAGGTTATTTCCGATGGCTATGAACAGAGGTTTTGCACTGGGAAATACTGTTCCTCCTTGCTTCCCTGATTCAGTGACTCACCTCTATATTCTGTTCCAAACAAAATTGATTTTAAAGGCAAAGAGCTAGCATCTAAGATTGGTAAGAGGAAAAGTTCTCTTCTGAATTGTCATGGTGAAGAAAATGAACAAACCTATGGAAAACCCTCTGGGGTTCTTTGTGCTTGCTTGCTTTTTTCCAGTTCAGATCTTTGGGAGTTAGCTGCCTGGCCTCATGATGAGCAGCAGCAAAGTCTCAGAGCTGAATTTTATAAAAAGATTAATGCAAACTAGTTTGCTTGAAAAGGTAACAGTGGTAGGATGTGAGAAGGAGGAAAGCAGTAATACTAGAGAAAGAAAAAAAAAGAGATGAAGGGATACTGTAGAAGGAAATAAAACAGGGAAAAAAAAGAATTATGACATGGGGAAAAAACTGACTAATTGTTATGTTGAAGGAGGAAAGTATTAAATATCAGTAATAATTATAGGATTCTAGATTTGTCCAGGTGGACTATCTAATATGTGGTCACCTATCAAAAAGGTGTCATGTTATTATATTTTCTGTTTTCAAAGCTGAATCTTTGTAGTTTTCCCTGCTTGCACAGCAACGAGACAAATTTAAGGTGAAGTCTCCACAGCAGGTGGGCAGGCTGATGTTGCTTCATTTCCTCTGGTTTTGCTGGCTGGCTGAGGCATCGAGGTGCAGAGCTGCTCACAGTGGAGGGGAGGTGGTTTCAGGTGTTGTGTGCCCCTGCATCGCACACACCTTGCATCTGCTAGAGGTGAGCACCAAAAGCAGAGCTGTGCAGGGGTGATGCTCGTGATGCACTTCACTCTGAGCAGAGCACAGCAGACTGCAGCAAACTCCTGGTTTTGATAATTTGTTGGGTATCAAGGGGCAGGGACCTGTTTTCACTTGAGGAGACCAAAACCCTGCTCAGTCTGCAACGCCAGGCACTATGAGTACAAATCTTCACTTTTATATTTGACTTCAGCTGTTTATATGTTTAAACATTAAAAAAAAAAAAAATGTTTACCCCAAATTAAAAACTCCGTATGACCAATATATTCTACAGGGATTAAAATCCAAGTCTTAATGTCCATGGTACTTTGTTCATGCACTGTAGCATAGACAGTGGTGACAGTCTGCAGGTTTGTGCCCGTAATTAACATCGTCCTGTGTCCGTTGGCACACCTGCATGTTTTGTCCCTTTATCTACTTTCTAAGGAAATCTTAGAAAAGCAAACGCACCTTGATGTTCTTCTGTGTTGCAATGGTGGCTGTTATTTATTCTGTGCTTTAGGTTATGCAAACTTCATTTTAATTTTGCAGTGAGCTTGTATCAATATTATTTTTGTTGTCGTGCACATCGTTTTTGGTGACAACCCTGTTTAAAGAAGTTGTAACTTTAACAAGCCATCTGTTAGCCTTTCAGAGAAAGGAAGTGCTTTTGTCAGTTACTCTAATGAAATCACAAAAATCATTTCCTGGTCTCTAGTTGTAGCCCAGTCATCCTATCTTCTGTCAATAGGAGGATATTGAAATATACAGGAGAATACATGCACGCTTTAATCCCACCTTGTGATATAGCCACAGTGCTGTATTTTAGTGCGTCACATTATAATTAGCTAGTGATGTCAACGGCTTTTAGTCTTCCATTACAAGTTCTCCGTATTGCACAAACCCTCTTATTCTACATGAAAGAGTTTCCTCATCCATCGGGTAGGCAAGCTGGGCACAAGAACTGCAGGAAGATCTCTTGAGTTCCTGCCAACCTTATTAGTAAAGATTCTGATTTCATGAGTTAAGAGGGTAGAAAGGAAGGAAAATCATGCCAGCTTAGGTAGGAATAAACAAAACTGCAAAATAACTCCATTTCCTCCTTTGGGATGAGGCTGGATGGAAGGAGGAGAAACAGTGGATAGAAACATTTGGAGTAATGGGAAAAATTAATGATGAAAGCATGGGAAATTGCCTAGTGAGCTATAAAGTGATGTTAAGTCTGAGGAAAGGCTTTGAGGCACCAAAATATGTTGGCACTGAGCAATGTGAGTTGTTCGTGAGGAGAAAATCCCAAGCACAAATGAAGGGAAAACTTGTCCTTTTACTTTTCATCCTCTCAGAGAAGATTTGACAACTCCTAAAAGGAAGGAGTAGATGCGTACCCAAGACCATGCCATGGTTTGGCTCTAGAGTGGGGTTGGAGTTGCACAGTGTGTGTGTTCAAGTACAAGGGACAAACCCAGAAGAAGTGGCTGGTGTAGCCCAAGAGGAAACTCGTTGCAGACTTGCTCCTTTTCTGGCCTCCCTGGGCACTGAAGCAGGTGGGTGAGGACAGGCCCCCGGCAGCTGTGGTGGATGACAGGCAGGTGTGGGTGCCTCTTGGAGCCCACCCCTGCACTTCCCTTATGCCCAGTGCTCTCCAGCAATGAAGAGCTCGTGTTTATAATTGGGTCTTTTACCACTATGCTCTCTCTAACTTGCTCTAGCAGATCTGGAGCCAACTCTTGTGATGGCAGTGCGGGAGTGAAAAGAGGCTTCCCTGTGTGTTTTACTGGGAGGGATGATGGAGTCAGGCTGGTTCTAGATACATCTCTCTGAGCTTCGCTGGGCTTTTGCTAGACCTAAGCATGTGCCAGTTGCTCTCTTGTAGCTATCACCACCCGTCTGGTCCAGGTGTGGGTTTTTTGTAAAATAAAATGGTCGTTGTTAATGAAACTCAGGTAAAAGTGAAAATGTTGACATTCTCACCCAAAGCAACAGACTGAACAATTGTGTTAAAAAATAACCACAGGGCTGTACCACACTTGTCAGCTTCTGCACTGGAAGAGCAC